AGGCCACCAAAACGTTTGAGCGAACAAGATGGGACCACGTAACCTCCAGCTGGTGGTTGCTGGACGCACACCCACTTTCCGGCGTCGGTCCGTGTACCCCCTCTGCCCATCGTCGCGTACACTTACTCCGCAAATCCCTCAAACACAGACCGGATGATCCAGCCCCGAATTCCCCAGTCCACCACGAACTCCATCGAACGCAGCCCGCAGGGTTCCAGGGACCATGCGTCATTATTGAAGACTCGCTTTCTCGCGCGGCCTTGTAGCGAGCAACATCGCAATCGTTGTTCGTTTTCGTTCGCTGTCCCTTTCGTTTCGTTCCAAGAATCGGCTACCCATAATAGTGTTTCCGGAAATTTCCGATATACACTCCTCGCCCACTATTTCTCTCGCCTGTTGTCGAGTCTCATTGTTTCCATCGATCCGGTGCACGACGCTTGCTGGTTTCGTTGCGTTCGGAGTAAAAACCTACTGGAACGCTCCATGTACACGGGGTTACCCGCTGTTGTGATATAGCGGACAGGGGGGACACTCGACGTTGATTCGGAAATGAACGAGGAGACGGTTCAACGCTGATCGAATGCGTCCGTATCGGAGAGCTCTCGCTCCCCTCGTAGCGCAGAGTGACGTGTCGGAACAGATAGTCAAGTTTGCATTTCACTTGTTCAGATATTTATTTGCAGTCGGCAAACGAACGCGGAACGGACGGGCTACGACCTAATCTGGCAATCTGTTCTCCTTGTTCTTCTACTCCCTCGTCACCGTCACGGCTCGAACTCTCAGTGCCTCTTCGTCGACGACACGAAGGGATTCGTCTTCGACCTCCACGGCGTTTGTTAGTCGCCTTTTGTATTCTTCATCTGGATCTCGCCGGCTGTCGCATCGATGGTTGTTTGTGACTCGTCGGTATGTTCTGCGTGCCGATGTCCAAAGTGAATATTCAGCAGTGGCATGTTGAGCTCTCTGTATTCTCAAGTGTGATTGGGTCGGACAGCTTGGAGGGTCCCTCCACACGCGACACACAATGGATATCGTCAGTGTTTCGGTCACGAAAACTCACAGTCTCCGAGAAATGCGGACCACCCGGCGACCCGAGCGTGCCCCGATGGATTTTAATGAGCGTATCTCATTTTTCGGCTGCGAGCTATCGTGAATCGACCAAATCATCCGCTTATCCATCCGCACGATCATCTAGCCTTCCTGCTTCGCGTACCGCGAGGGACGAGGATCCCCTTGGGATATATTTCGCCGTCGCCGCATTCTCACCGAGTGAGACAATGTTCCCGAATTCGTAGTGAGCAGTAAAAAGCCGGACGAAGAGGCGAACGACAACGAAACGAGTCCGTGGGAGAAGTTCGTTTCTCCCTGCGTGGATTCTGAAAAATTCAGCCGTTCGCCGACGCTGCCTGGCAAGAGGCACAGGTTGGTTTGCGGCTGCCGGTGCAAGGGCTCGCGTGCCCGGAACAATCTCACAGTCATAGTGGATCTATCCAGAGGGAAAGCAAAGCGTTCAGAGCCCCTCCCACATCTCATTTTCCCCCAAGAATTTTTTTGTCGTCGACGTCTCCCTCGTGTTGCTGCCGACTGAGTTGGTGTAGTTTTCGTCCTTTTTTTTCCTGTTGGTCGCCGGGGTTCGCTTCATGGAGCTGAGACTCCCTTAGACAGAGAGAGAGAACAACGACCACCGTAGCGAGATTTATAGCTTGCAGCGGAAGGATGTCGGCAGAGTATCTGCTCTCGCTTCTCATCCCCGTCGTGCTTTTTCCTGAGATCATTGCTCATATATATACACACATGTATACATACATACTGGCACGAGAAACTCGAGACCCTCTCTCGTAAAGGAGTCGCACGAATAGAGAAGAGAAGAATGGGCAGATTCCCCCGTAATTGCGACCGAGCAGGTGGCCTTGTCGTCACGCAACCTCACCGCCACAGAGCAAATGATCCTCTCCTTGTTCTTCGTCTCCTGGAATCTGAGAGCGGAATGGGATCCGCCGACTTCTCAGCCGAGAAATTTTCGTTCGAATCGCGAACAAGGGGCGAGATCGATATTTTCAGGAAGCTATTCGTGACCTCTGTCGACCAGCTCTCCCAGGGAGCAGAGCGGTCGAAGGGACTGTTTCTTATTCCTCGACGGTAGGCGCCCCATTCCGTGATAGATTTTCTTTCTTTTCCAGAACTCTATCCGAGTCATCAAAGAATTTACGCATTTTTGCCATTGCAGGCTCATGCCAGCACAGCAAGTCTAGATACGATCACTGACATTTTTTTTCTATAGCAATAACAGAGCTATGGCATTGTCTTTGTAATGCGGATAGAGTACTCGGTCGGAGTGTCCAGCTCGTTCCATAGCAACAGGAGGGTAGACAAACAATAGGTGCAGGTCTGCTTAGCCGCCACAAACCTCAGCATGAACGCACACAATAACCTCAGGACAGTCAGACAACTTCTGTCAGTGACCACGAATAAAGCACGATGAACAGTCGAACGAATAGAGCAACAAGAAGAGCGCTCGTCTGCTCTGGCGGATATAGTGTATATATCGTCTAGTTTGCGGACCCGAGTCCACCGACCGACCGACCCTAACCCGTCCCCCGACAATCACGATCGCTAGCAGCGATACTCAAAGAGAATTCAGCGGACCGTGTGGCTCGCCGTATCGCTTGTCCGCTGGTATTCTCCGGCGGGCATTTGGCGGGCTTGCCCGCTCGCTGTAGGACGTGAGAGGCCACGTACAAGTGGCGACTCCACCTACGAACTCACTAGAATTAAGGGACTTCATCTGTTGCTGTCTTATTTTTCCAAGGTTCATCTCGCCTAGCAAATCCTACGGGACAACGGTCGGATCCCCAGAGAAGGAGCATAGGTTGCGCGTTTAGCTGCCACGGCATCTTCTCCCATTCGCCCGAGGGAAGCAAGAAAAGGCTCCGGAAGCCCCGACGACGCCGATAGTTGCCCCCAATCATTGATCAAGGGGTTCGAACAAATAGTTTACGTTGGAATTCTGCCCTTATCCGTCAGAGCGGTGTCAGACTCGATGCCTCATCCATCAAATCAAAAGTTCCCGCCAACGTTCGGGAAGATGTGCTTCCGTGAAATTCATCCCGATAGAGCCGACAACTCTTGGAGAAAGAGCTCCTTTACGCCATTCACTCGGGCGCGGAGAGATTGAATTGAAACGTTCGTCGCCGGAACGCCACGGAGACAAGATATCCGCCGCTCGGATCCTCACGGAAGGACGCGACGGGAGGAAACAAATGAATCTTGGTCCGATTTTTAGGTTCGCAATTTCCTCTTCTAGGTGCCGGCTCCGACGTCTGCACGCCCAGAAACCCTGTTCGTTCCAAATAATTCCTACCAGGCGCCGCGGATGACCGTGAAGAGAACAATGAGCGAAAAACTTCGGAACACGAATAACTTCCCGACAAAGTTGCTCTTGTTCTTCCGTTCGTGTCCGCGCACGTCTGATTCGGAGCTCTGACATTCTCGCCGCCGGTGGAAGAATTTCGGACAGTCGAGCTGACAGCGAGCTTTGCCGAGTTCGAGGAGGCCCCCCAAGTTGAACGGGGGGGAAGTCTCGATGTTTGCGGCTGGAATAGCAGCCGCAGGGACTCTATGGGCGGGAGGCTCGCTTGCGGTCCTCAGCTCTCGCGGTCGACTCGGAGAGCGAGGCAAGATGGAAAGTAGAGGAAATATCCGTCTCCTTTGTTGTTGTCTCCCGCCGCCAACGCTGCCGACGTTGTCGTTTTCTTTTCTACTGACTGCATGCTCGCCCGCCACCCATGGCACCCCTTGCCCGTCACCGGACCCCTCATTTCATACGCTCGCCGCCGTCATCACATGCACAACCACCGATCATCAAGCAGCGCAAGGCGGAGAAAGGAAAAATGTTTGCAGCGACTCTGGTGTGCTCGTCTGAACTTCACCCAACTCCCCACAAGATCAGATGGATCGTGTGGCGAGCTTAAAAATGCGTGTTTGAAAGCGCTGAATAAACACCGCTTGCATATGCAATAGCTTTTCTATTTGAAACTTTTTTCCGCAGAGAGAGTTTTCGAGATCCAGAGCGAGCTTGAGCAGGTCCTCACGATTCGTTGTTCTCCTGAGTGAGTCGAGTTCAGGAACACTGACAAGTCTTCTACGGTTTTGGTGGTCGCAGACAAAGTGTATGGGGCTTCGCGTGTACTGCCGGAAGAATTTTCGGCGGAAAAAGTGTTCGAGGAACGTGAAACACGCTTCTGAGCACATCCTCTTCGGGGGCGAAGCGATGGCGCGCGAGAGATCCGCGGAGCTGGGGGACTCGTAGTCAGAGTCAGAATATTTTTTTCTCTCCGGCTCCATCTCGTGTCGCGTGCTCCCCAGGTAGGACTCGGCAGCGGCTCTAAGTGTATGAGTCATTCTCATCCGAGCCCGGAGAGGGGACGCACAGGAGTACACTGTCGACCTCAGAGGACTCCTCCGCTCAATCCACCGCGCCGATGTTAGCAGCAAAAGAGGAGAATTCGAACTGAGCCTAGAGAACGATCCGAAATTCCCCTGGTCGGGATACGGATCCCTTTCTGCTCTGCGTCCACCATGGAGACGTGGAGATCCTCGCCGTGGAGCGAGAAAACCAATCGGACACGTAACTAGAAAGTATCATGCTTTACGCGTGTTTCGAATCTTTTCGACAGACGGATGCAACCCCTACCTGGGCAAAGAAACCGCAATGGCCGCTGCTTGACCCAGATGACAAAACTTGGGAAATTCCGTTCTCTGACTTAAGATGCACTCGATGAGTGGAGAGCTTTTCTACATGAAGGGCGGTTCGCTTGGTATTCAGCCGCACAATCATTTCTTGACCGAAGTCATGATTGGGGATGACGTAGATCACGCATCGGAGCGAGTCTTGACTCCACGCGAAACATCGGCAGGAAAACGAAATTGAACGGGGATCTCTTGACACTCCTCCCGCCATCTGCATTGGAATTTTTCGGATTGACCAGATCGAGACGTACCTTTAGAAGTTTTTTGCAGGCTGAAATTTCGCCCGCCGATGGCTGTCCGGTAGAATTTGAGAACGGTCCTGATTCTTTGGCATCATCTGGTTTCACACTTGGTGAAGGCTGATCCTGAGGAGCCAGAGGAGCTGAATCCTGGTGGCAACTTGCGAACAGCTTTACCATTTGGAAAACAACGGCGTCGGGCTTAAGAGGCTTCAGAGTCGGTTCGATTCCGTCTGCGAGGAACACTTTGGCGTAAATTGCTTCAAGCATTGGCAGGGTTGAAGGCATGGTCTCGATAAAAACTTCGATGGGCAGATCAGACAGAATCGAACGAAAAGTCGACTGGTTCAGTCTGTTGATGAAGTTTGCAGCCTCTTTGTGTTGCGCGCTTTCGTACATGCGGAGAATCCGCCGGATCGCGAGACCGGGAGACACATCTGAAATTGTCATCGATTGGATCCTGGCCTGTGTCGACGGCGGCTCGGCGTCAACGGAATCGGCCTGGAAGCCGGCCTGCCAGTGAGAGCTTCTCCATGTCAATTTCTGGACGTTTCTTCTGGTAGCCGCGCGTTCCGGCTTGAAGCGATTCTCCCCGGAGCCTGGTTGCCAGACAGGCTGTGAGTTTAGCGCACCCAGTCCTGGGGCAGCCATCGAACGAGTTGCGGGACGGCTTCAGCGGCACAGCGGTGATCACTTCACGAGTATCCTTCCGAAGCAAACAAAACTGTCAAAGTCTCCACACCAACAACACTTGCAACAAGAATCAGCACCCGATCCTCGCAGTGGCGCGGACACGCGGCTACTGGCACGCGGCTGGGTGAGGGGAACACGTTGCACACAGGGTCCGCCTCCCGGGTTCGCTCTCCTGCGACGACTCTTTCCTTCGTTTGAAGTTTGTGGCGCGCAGTGCCAGCCACAGTCCCCCGGTTTTGCCTTCGCTCGCTGTTGATGCCACGGCTGCCGCTACTTCATCTGTGATCCCCTCTGACGGCTGGCTTGCCGGTGTTCGGACGCAGTCGCCATGGCTCGTTGCTTCTCCCGATGGCTTGAAGCATGCTTGTCTGTTTTCCTATTTTCGGTGTCAATCGCTGCTGCTTGTGGGGAAGCAGCCAACTCGGGAAGCCGATGAGGCGTCCATGAAGTCGATGCCGGAGGAGACACCTGCGCCAAGCCTCTCGTAAAGTCTCCCGAAAGAGGAGGAAGGAGGAAAATCTTGGAGTACAAGTGCGTCAAGGCATCGTAGTCGGAGTAATGGTCTTGGAGCCAGCCGCCGGCAGATATGGATTCACTGGGGACTTCGGGGGAAAAACTTTAAAAGTTCGAAAGCTGCCATTGGAACGAAAAGGGCCTTCCGAAGTCCCATCCGAGCGGGAGAATGTTTTTCCACACGTGCCCGCTCAGAGGAGCTCTTCGCGGTATACGCTCACCGGGAGCAGTCCCTTCGATGCGATTCGGTAATTATCATGTTGATAATTACGATTGATCTTTAGGTTAAGTTCTCGGTACTAAGAAAGTTTTCGGTCGATAGCGGTCAGCCACTACCCCACAAGGCGAAACGAACAAATCAAGACAGAAATTGATCGGGAACGCAACAGCCGCATAAGCTCCGAAATTTCGTCTTGTTGAGGCTAATGTAAACAGTCCCTTCGCTGCGCTACTCGACAGAGCTGGATATTCGCTCCGTCCCTCATCACTCACGGAGCGGACTTTTGTGGGAGTTGTAGGTTCCCAGTAGTTCCGAAATATTTTTTTCTCAAAATTTCTCCTTTTTTCCGAATAATACATCCCGCGTCGCTTACCATGCCCAGATCGTAGTTGCCCTTTTATCCGCTGGAAGGAAATTATCCTTGGAGAGCCTTCTCGTGATCGTCGACGGTGAAGCGAGGGCCGAGAACAAAAAAATCCATAAAGTTTTCAATGATTCTGCCGATTCCCAAAGACTGCTCATATAGTTCGCTGACTGTCTCGAGAGCAGGCCCACTCATTGAGAGATTGAGAGCGCGAGCCCGTCCAAGTGCTCGATTGAACGACAGGCGTTCCATCGATCCCCTAACCTCTTGTAGGAGCTCGGTGATGATTATGTTTGTACACACGTGCTGTCTCGCATTCATCATCGCGTGTTTTTCCCGCAGCTCATGTCAGGTGAGCGGAAGCGTCGCGCAAATCATCTCTCTAATCCATCGTTAAGTCAGAAAAGGAGCTGAGGCTCCAGAAGATGTTTATGCCAGAGAAAGATAAGGACTCGTCTCTCCGCCAATGTCGACATGCTGAGAGAATCTCCTATTCGGGACACAATAATGTTGGTGATGAACTCTCTTTGACGATGCTAGATGCCCATACATTCCCGTGTATACGTCTCCATCGGTGTGTATGTGCCGGAGCTAGCTCCAAGCTCAGGAACACGTCACGGCTCGTGAAATGAGTGCTGCATGACGCTCCTCGAGAAATTGGCTCGTATTCTCGCTCGCCTCCCCGTGAAAAACGTGGCACTAGAGTTCTACCGTCTACGAATTGTGCGTGTGAGACTCTTTCAAGGTCATGAAGTCGGCAAATGGAGACGACAACGCCAAAACTACCTCTTTCGTTCGGAACGATACTTTTATGAACCCTGCTGTCGGTTTAATAATGCGGACTCTTCTATTCTTTCTCATTGGAAGAAAATCGCCAGCATAAGCCTTCTTCGGAAGCGTAGCTCCAGCCTATACCGGATTCGGCGATTGATGGTTAGAATAGTTCTTCAGCCGCCGATACCGCTTGATGTACTGAGCGCTGGGCCATACGGCTAGCCTGAGAATCTCTTGAGGAAGGGCTAAACAGCAGATCCATTTTTGACTCGTGGAGAACAAAGCGTTCCTGTCGTCAGTCTCTTCCGCAAGCGTTCAGGCTCGGCATCAGTATCGAGGAATGAATGCTCCTGAAGTCGATCGAATAATTTTCCACTCTTTGCTCCCTCCGAATGTCATGGCTAGTTCGGAGAATGATCGGGGACTGGAGAACCCGTGGGAAGGGATCAAATTCAACACAAATCTCCTTTCCGTCATGGCCACTTCGGAAATAGCGCGTCAGAGTGTGCATAAGCAGACCACTGGATTCGCATCTTGTGCAGAGCGAGACAACGCATATTGGTCACAAGTGTGGCTATATTTTGGCTTGTACCGATGAAGAAACACTGTTCCGAAGGCGTCTGGCAGAAACTTTCGGCGTTTTTTATACGAAGTTCTTGACCCTTGTGCGTGGTTTCGAGACTGGAATTCAGCGAGCGCATCTCTGCCAGTTAGGGAAGTTTTTGGCATGAATATTTCAAGCCAGGCAGAACAACCACGCTGTCTGGACTAAAATTAGAAAAGAAGGATCGATGGTGCGTTAAGTCGTCTTCGAATGTCGAGTGGGAACATCACGACCCGCCGCTGTTGTCCGCATCTTTCAGAGCGTGAGAGATTATTAATTTCACTCCGAAAGCGGAATCCATCGCAAGGCATTCCGTCGGCGTTTGTGTACGGATCCAATACTGTTCCGTTCGCACACGAGCGGACACCAATTTCCGCCGATCATTGGACGCGATCGAATATGCCCACTAAGTTGCCCAAGACTAGGGCTCCCAAATACCCGCCAGTTTCGAAAACCGCGATTCTCGGGTACCCGAGAACCGTGGAGTCGGAACCGCGGGTAGAAACCGGAAAGAACCGAATTTTTCCTCCTCTGATTTGGGACTGATACCTGGCGAAACTGATCGAGAATTTTGAACCTACCCATTCTTCGGAGCCAACGGACTCAGTCGAATTAATTTTATTCCATCAGAAAGGTATATTTGCCGAGTTCAGTCTCCGTATTCGCGGTACGGTCCACGTCGGCCAGCAGCGAGAGCAAGCCCGCTCATCTGTCGAGCGGCTACAGGGGAAGTGACCAGAACTGCCCCCTCGCGATTCCGAATAATCTGACCCCCGAGTACAGTAAAAGCTCGTTACAACGACCCCCGTTAAAACGAATTTCCCGTTACAACGAACAAGGAATTTCTCCTCCTTTGGCCAGCTCGCCATGGGGATAGTGTTGAGCGGCATTCGTTACAGCGAAAACTCGGTACAACGAACCAATTTCGTCGGTCCCTCCGTGTTCGTAGTATCGAGCTTTTACTGTATAGGTATGTAGGCGGCCTGATTATTAGCGAGATGTAATGTGGGGTTTTCAAAACCCGGGTCGACCTACAAATCCCGCGCTATCTCGTCTAAATCGCGAGGGTCAGTTCGAGTACTTTCCTTGTTAGCGTGCATGAGAGAGACATTCAGCCATCGAAAACATCTCGGCCTGGATTCTTACTCATTTTGGAGCATGTCAATGGTGGTTTAGACGCCGGGAATGATTTGACTTGCCCCCTCGGAACCGCGGGTAAGAACCGAGAAAACCAGTCGGCTCCGGATCCGAGAGAATCGGCCGAAACCCGCGGTTCCAGAACCTCGGGTAGGAACCGCTGGAAGCCCTCCCCAAGACTCTTTTCTGCGTAAATGTCTCCAGTTTGGCTTCAACGGACATTCAGAGAAAACTCGTCCTTTGTGTGAGGGGATCCTGACCCTTTCGGTAGCTGAGGACCGTGCTTGTACAGTTCAGATTTCTTCATAATAATAACTCACATCCGCTCGTTGCCTCACAACGAAATCCCACGGGAAAGCCTGCCATTGAGATTTGTCTCGCTCCTGAGGGAACGGAGCATCCCCCGTGGGCCGATTCCTGGGTTCTCCTCGAACTTCACCGAGCTGTGCGTGAAACGGTGTTTCTCCTAGCGCGGGACATTTTTTTCAGATCTGGTTCGAGTTTCACGAGTTCTTCAATAGCGCTCTCGAATCCAAGACTGGACCAGCGGACAAGCTTGATTTCTATCATTAAACCGGTCACAAGTATCAATTTCTACTCAAACTCGATATCGTTGCTGAGAGTATATCTGTGCGGACTCCCGACTTTGCTCGAAATTCTTCTGGAGAGCACGAATGGTCGTAGAATCAGGTCGATACTTCAGGGCGGAATTCAACTCCAAGAAACGATCCAGAGTTTCCGAGCCTCCCCGGTCAGGGTACATGCAAAGCGGACACGAAGAGACAAGCTTCAACTATGTAGGTACAAGAAGCATGGGAGCCTGACAACTGACTGCAACGAGTCGTTCAAGCGTTCGGTAAGAAAACAGGGACGCCCACGACGAACTGGAACACCCTCGCTAGAGTTGGGACGGAGAGCGGGGAGATCACGACTTTGGGGAGGCTCGACAAAGATCCCACTGCCTGGTGACGGCAACATCAAAAACATGACAAAGGAGATCACAACTTGAAATGAACATGAGAAACGACACGCAGCCATATGCTATGCTGCTTGACGTATCACGGCCTAGCGTGACGTATCACGGCTATTCCACGGCCAATGCGGTGCCGGTGCATTGAAGGAGTATGGTAGACTGAGACGATCGCGTACTCTTCACGAGTACAGACGGTGGTGTCGATGACCGCACCACCTGCTCGCACATTCTCGATGAGACCACTTGGGGCATGGGACTGCGCTTCCTTGGCGTCGATTCAGTGGGCATCCGACCCCCATGGCACAATCTATAAGCATTGCACGAGCACATGAGTAAGCCCACCGAGGTCGAACTTCCCCGGGAACCGAGTCCGGCTTTCAGCTGTACAATCGGACCGATTTCTTCCTGAGTCGCATCGAGTGCTTTGCTGCCGACTAAGTAGACTGGAATGAGATACCTACCTACGGAATTTTACTCAGGAGCTCTCCGGCGAATCGAGTCGAAGGAAGCTCACTGTCCGATTGATCGGAACCCGGATCATGGGATGACAAGGGAGAAACAATGACAACGCAACAAAAACAACGCCTAGATGTCGCCGACCCGCCAACCCACTTCGGACGGAACTCCTTGCCGTTGAGACCCTAAACTCCTAAATCTATCCGCGTCGTCTTCGATCGTTCTGACAGGGAGTGCAGCTTCCGCTCAACGAGGAAGAGTAATGAGTCCGAGACTACATACCCCCGATCAAGCGAAGAGGCATGCGACGATGCCTCCTTGGGCGGAATTATTCGTGGCTGGAATCCACTGCGTGTTTCTACAGTCATGAGAACCATGAAAACTTGGAAATATCTAACTCTTCCAGGGAAAAATATGCATAAGCTTCATCAAGGGACCAGTTGAGTCATCGGATCGTTTTCCTCAGTCTCGAATCCACGGGGGAATAGATTGAGACCCCACTGTGGATAGTCTGGATGCTCATTGAAAGCGTGTATGACCAATCTCATTCATGTGAAAGATGTAACACCTATCGGTCACTCTCGTTTGTCTAAAATAAAACTTTACCCCGTGGATCGGAGAGAGCGAAGTCAGTCGACAGCCCCATGCCCGTGGTGCCCTCTATGTGATGATTGGGTGAACCTTGTTGCTATCGAAACCGTTCATACTGTCGTTGGTAACCGAAATCTCCCGGGGGAGCACACTACCAAATTCGTGGTGTCAACGTTGCCCCACTTAACATGGGCGATTTCCAATCGCATGAAAGGCGCAATTGGCTCCTCCATTGGTGCTACGTACGGAGCGACTTCGCGAGTTGTGAGAAACTCTGTAAGGACGCGCTAGCGCAATCGAAAGGTCTTTCCCTGTACCCCTTGACAATCAACGCTCTGCTGCTTCGCCAGCAGGGTAAAGTTCAAGAAGCGTTGGAACTCTTCGAAAACTGCGCTCTCATCCGACCCTCTGTGGAAACTCTGAAACACATGGCAAAATGTTACTTTTTGCTAGGCCGCCATCAAGACGCCGTTGACGTGTACGAGCAGTGCGTCAAAGCTCACCCGAAAGACTGGGAGAGTCACCACGGCCTGGGAGTTTGCTATGCAAAACTCGGTCAGCCGGAGCAGGCTCAACAAGCTTTAACGACCGCCATCCAGATCCGTCCCGTGGAGAACAGTTACACGGAACTTGGCCAGCTATTTCGGAAATCTGGAGATCTAGCCGGCGCCATAAAGATTTACCGGAAGGGAGTCGACCTGTTTCCGGGAAGCGCCACGCTTTGCAGTGAGCTGGCTCTGCTGGAAATGTATAACAAAGACACACAGCAAGCCTACGATCGACTCGCGGTGGCCTTGACTCGTCAACCTCAACGACCCGACGCACTGCTCATCACGGCCAATATCCTCCAAGGCTACGGCGATTTAGACGCAGCTCTCTCGAAGTATAAATTGGTGGGAAGTCAACGACCGCATTCTGCAACACTGTGGAACAACATCGCGATGTGTTTCTTCGCTAAGAAAAAATACGTAGCGGCGATAAGCTGCCTCAAACGCGCACAGTACTACGGCCCTTTCCACTGGCAAGTGCTGTACAACCTAAGCCTCGTGCACCTGACCATGCAGCAAGGCGCATCCGCGTTCCATTTTGCTCAGGCGGCTATCATGCTCGGCCTGGCGAGTCACAACAAGGAAGCCCTATCGCAACTCTATCAAGTCTCTGCTCTGGCGTTGGACAACGTACGAGACGTAGAGAACGCACATAGAGCGTATCAACAAGCGATCATGCTGAATCCGAAAGACCCGTTGATCGCCATCAATATGGCTGTCAGCATGTATCGCAATGGGAAGTCCGAAGATCGAGTCATGGAAGCGTTACAAGCATTCCAAGATAGTCAGCCGGACAACGAGGCGCTGATTCACATGGCGAACACAATCCGGCTCGGACTGGTTGAGCGTGACGGAGAGGAGAAGTCGGTGGACACACAAGAGGATTGAGGGAACAAGCGATCGAGTGATCGATCGAAGTTGGCCCATACATTGTGATAATTGATAGGGTAAAATAATTCGATATCTGGATATAGTTCGTTGATTATTATTTATTATTATTATTATATATAATATTCGCCTATCTCCATCAATGCTGTTGGCTCTGAATCGGGGAATAGAACCCTCCGTTTCCCACAGCGAATTATAGTGGCATCAGCATTCATCTCGGAAATCCCATTCGCATCAGATCGTACCTTATAATACGCCGCCCTGAGATCGATGGTATGGGGGGAGGCTGGAGCGGTGCCATGACATACCGATTCGCGAAGTCAGATTCAACTTTCACTTATTCAGGAAGCCCCCCTTTCAGTCGAGCAACCTGTTTTTTTCGACAAGGGCCGTGGCATGATCCCCTCTGCCCCGAGGAGACTCGAGATCGAAGCCCGCGACTAGAAGCCATCATAATTATTATGGGAAAAATGAACGAGATACGAAACATACTGAGGAGGAGCCTTTCTATCATAGTTCTGCACACGCAGGGAGGGAGCAGACTTCCCGGAGGGAGAACTTGCAAGCTGCCACCGAATTTCCGCCAGAACTTTTCCGTGAAGCGGCGCTCATGCGATGACGAGCTGCGACAAATTATGCGCTCTCATTCTCTGCGCGCTATTATTCCGTCACAATAGGCGATCGTGACTGACATGTGTGTCAACAACGAGACCTCTAGTTTCCCCTGAGCATAATAATTGCTCGACGCTTGGAAGACTGATGATGATGATGATAATTGGAGTGATCGCTGATTCGCCGACTCGTTGATGGAAATCCAATCGAAAATGGTCATTCAATTATTGATGAGATTCGTGATGAATAGCTCGGCTGATGATAGCTGTTGTTCCTCCACAGCGGGCGTAGATTGACGATGAGAAAGCGGGGTTGATCGAAACGCTCGCCCAATGATTCTCGTATAGGAAATCTCGAGCCTTCAGTCCGGAGGGACTGATGAGTTCTCGCTAGTATCCAGAAAATTGGGCAGCAGATCGCAAATAAAGGAATTAGCGTATGATGGAATCCGACGCAAAGGGAATTCAATTTCTTCCCTGCATGTCTATGGTCGCTGAAAGCAACCGAATAAGAACCTTGGAGCCTGATCATCGTATCTCCCTCAGGGCATGATTTGTAAGGTGATACTTGAGCATATTCCGCCGCCGAGTTTTCGTCATGTCACAAGGCATGAAAACTCATGGTTCACCGAAGCATCATTTCCGCGCGTGAAAGTTCCTCGTCAGAGGCGATCTCACTCCGCATCCCAGCGGATCTCTATATCCAAAACGAATAATAGCCTATGAGTCCCTTATAGCCCCAATCATGCGAACCTCATCTGAAGCTCAGGCATTGGCCATTGGAGCCCTTTGAGTGCAGTCCTGCAGCATGGACCATCCTAGGGAAATCAGGATACGCTTGGGGCGCAGTCCCGGTGACTCATTTCCATTGCTTGAACGCAAGCAAAGTCTTGAAAACACGCTCACCGCGCACTTTCAATCGAGCATATCGTCCTCCTAGCCGAAATTCCACGTTGATCGCTGGGATCCCATCTAATTAATCCTGTTTCAGGAGCTAAGTCCCGAGTCCTGACTCACTGGCTCTACTCCCTGCTTGTCGAACGACGCTTCTCTTCGGAAACCGGACCTGGACTTTTCGAGCATTAAAATGATCCAGATTGGGTGATGTAGCAAGATAAATCTGGACTCGAGGCAATGGTTCCAGTCGTGACTCACTGTCATCAACACGGGACACGGATTTAAAGAGTTTTGAATATCGGCTACCAAGTTATCGCTCACCTCGTACCGCTAGAGACTCAAGACGATTCCCGTCTTCCCTCACCGAACGAATCATGGGCATTGAAGCTCGAGATCGCGGGAACTGAAGCCCAGACGATTCCTCAGGATAATAATAATCTGATGGCTCCGCGATGACTGAATTCATTCCCCCGGTGGGTCCCCCGTTGCTGGGAAAAATCCTCGTCTCCCACGGCCTGTATCGCTGGATGGATCCAACTCGGGAAGAGCGACGTACCCGGGTAGCGCGGAGCAGTCGACCAAACTCTCGCACGGAGCCAATTGAACACCTGAGCAAGCTCGCTTGCGCAATAAATTCGACAAGCTCATCAAGTCTGACTGTTTTCTGCATCGATATTTTATAAAAACGATCGATAGACTTAATTACCATTGTGACTGGCCGTCATTGCAGCGCTGTCCCGCTGATGAGGGTAGTTCGCCTCTGCAATGAGATCGACGTTCCTCCTTCTCTCGGGCTTAGCTTCTGTGTGCTTCGCAGCTTGGGTGCCCAATACTTTCAACCCGTGTGGTGGGTGGAAAAATCCTACATCTCCCGCCGCTTGCTCGATAGAAGTCTTCTGAGCACCTTATGCCGGGGATGCTCCACCCTATGTTCCAGGATTCCTTTCCCTCATACTCTTACAGCTCTCGACGCAGAAATCATGGAGACGCTCATCAATTGTGGCCTGCCAAAAGCCCCACCGAAGGTTCGTATGACGGTTTCGTATCCGGAACCTTCGAGCCGAAGCAGACCGATACGTGAATATGCCTCATTTGAACTGGAACGGCTCCCGCTTCGGAATTCTAGGCACTGGAAATTTGGAACAAGCGTACGCTGGCGATTCCCGGCATGAGCGCGACCGACCTTATCTTGGAGGTTTGTCGCATCAATGGAAACGCAGGTATGATTCCTCCGAGGCACTCAATTTTGAACAAAGCAAACGTGTGGAAGGATAACGAAACGAGTTTCTATAGGCTACACGCTCTGGAGTCAAATGATGAGTGAGTACGACCCTGAAGATGCTGCGATCGTCGACAAGAACGCCTACGATTGCCTAAAACAATACAATCTCCTCGTGTGACCAGTCCTCGGAAGCTTCTTCCATCTTTGCCTTCTTTCTGCTCCCGGCGACGACGCCGACGTCTCGAGTGAATAAAATGCGAATCGATCGAGGCCCTCGATACTTCGAGCTTGACGGTGGATCATTCAAAGCGATGGATGCCACTATGGGCGTTCGTTTCCTCGAATTCATTTTCAAGACTCAGCATGGTCTGCTATCAAGGTGGATTTGAGCTTCAGTACGGGACTGTTGAATAGATCAAGAATCGGCTAAGACCTTTGGAATGCGACATTCAGTGGTATTGCATCGGTGACGATTTCCGTAAGGAGATGACCCCGACTTGAAGTCCCCGTATTCGATTGGGAAGCCTCCAGGCGAATCCGCGAGGTGAATTCTAGTCCACGACGCATCGATCGGAGGCAGTAGCGGGGATGCAAAACCTTGGAGACATTTCCCAAACTCGTTTTATCGCAGCGATCTCATCCACCCGATACTGCCTACTGTAAAAGCCATCTGATGACTCAATGCTTCCGCTCTTTTTGACAACCTACGGTTCTCCTCCGTAACCCGACCGTCAATGCTCAAGTATGAAGAAATGCGGGTTATATCCGGTACGAGAACCAATCTTTATGCGGGTCAGTCCATGGACCCCTGATTCATGCTCATCATGAGGGATATGGGAACGGAGGCTTGCAAAATCTCTACCAACTTCCACCAACCCCCATTCACATGGATACAAGCCTCTCCTCTCCTCTCGCCTCAGTCTTTTCAGGAATTGTATGAGCGCGAGACGTGATAGTCGTCCTGGGAATGTCCCCAGATGATGGCTCCCACTGGTTCTATCCGGAGAAAGCTATATCGAGTATCTAAGACAATTTCTAGCAAGGAACGAGTCTATTGAAGAATCTGGAACCCGGATCGAGTCTTCGTGCTTATCAGACATTCGTTGAAACCGATGAACTCATTCTTTCTGATTCCGGTCGGGGAAGAGAACGCTTGCTCCATGGCCGCATGGCTACGCGTGCGTTTTCACGCTACGGCAGGCCCTAGCTGCTCGATTCCCGCGGTGCTCTTAGATCCTTTTCCCGAAGGTGCTACTTCTCCCGTAGATCCTGCGATGCATGGCTCATATTCAGAGTTAAGCATTGTATCACATCTGGAATCGTATCATGTAGCCAGAGGACGCATGGAAATTGATATGAGTCTTTTGCTGAACGAGCTGGGTCAGCGAGCGAGTGAGTGAGTTTGTGCCGAACCCTTGAAACAGTCGTCAACCACGAGGCTCCGATGTCGCATGAGCAAATGGAGTGAGATCCTGGGGGAATATAAGAATTGCCGCATGAAACTCCCAGAGAGCTACTTCCGGGTCCGTCGGGGGAAGTCTAATCTCGCAATGGAACTCCACAGATCTTGCCGCGTCTTCAACTTTTCGCGCATTGGAACGACTCCGCTTCGCATGATTCCTCAAGCCACCTTTTCGATACGACGAGATTTCGGAGCCGTCGGGTGACGAGTCTTCGATGACGTCTCGAGTGTTCGCATCGTCTCAAGATCTAATTATTGTCCGAACAATAGGGAGGATTTCGCCGGGTGAATCCCTTGCCGCATTCCGGACAGGTGTTCAGTCAGCGACAATGACACATGTCGGTCGCAGTAATCGCATTCAAGGCAGATATGACGTTTCACCGCAACCGTGACCAGTCGTACGACACCATTCTACGATCATTTGCAGTCTCTAGGAGGATAAAGACTTCGATTGTGAGTCGCGATCGGCTTCGATCCGCTTCGAGCAGGCGGAGTCCTGAAATCTCGCGGACGAATCGCATATGCACGGTAGCTGTCGACTCGACGCACAGATCGTGGTCTACTGGAGAAATTACGGGAATTCCCCCAGACGGTGAAGAGCCGGCAACTGCACCCCTAACGTGTGTTCGCTTCTATCCATCCCATTCCGCCCCTTGTTGAGTCATTTTAGCCCACAGGTAATTTTTCCTGACAAGAACTGAGCGGATGCGACGCTGCAACGCCTGATGTAAACATCTGCTTCGAGCCCAACACCGATCGCCAAAAAGAGCCCAGAGACGGTTGAGATTTAGGGGAGAACGACTTCCGCGAGCAGTATCCGCGGCTTCTCTCCGAGTGTGCTCTGAGATTTTGTTTCTGTCGATCTGCTAAACCATCAACGGAAGTGATCGACGCTTGGATACTGAGAATCGCTCATACATGTACATATAATGGCCTATGAGATCGATGGCGTCTCTGCGGTACAGAGGCGGTGTTTGGGGCAAAGTTTGCAGGTGAGTATTTTCGAAGCTTGCTCAAGATGTGCGGTCGGCAACGTAATAATCGAGCTAATATTTTTCGACCTAGCGTAAACTAGTCAAAACCGTCAGAATACACATCATGAAGGATCACGCTCCGCACGTGCGTTCGTTTTATTCACGAGCGCTTCTAGAACTTTTGCGGGATGATCGCTCCTACCGAATCGAAATTTCGGATCGCTCCACTTAGTCACCACGAAATAGCGGAGGTTCGTGCCAGGGCTACGAGTTCGGCACTCTTTGGTCCGAATCGAGTTTTCCAGAATTCATAGGATAGCACCTATTCGATTATTGTCTTCAATCGCCACACTGGGAGCAGAGCTACTCGATAGACCGATGCTCTCGAAATGCATGATACCGCTCAGGGTACCTACTCGGTGAGACATGTCCTCGAGAGATGACAGATAAACCCTCGTGGAATTCAGGCCCAAGCCGTTGGAATCGAACTCCTGCCTCGACGTTCTGCCAGGAAAAACTGGAACCCGAATAATCACTTGATCCCATCTCCTTCATTTCGGGACGCTCCGGATCGTCGCAGTGCTTCCTCCTGTGATATCACTGGCGGAAGTCTTTCGACGCACCGTTCCAGTGCTCCTCTTTGGAGAATGCTTCGCGTCGTGCTGACCAGCCGCGCTCCATTCGGATGTACGGCGCTTCCACGAAACCCGCTGAAAAACCCACCAGGCCATGAATCCGATCGGAACGAGACGTCCCCGATCTCGGAGCGCAGCGACGACTCGAAATGCTCAAAAATCACCATCGGTCGCATGCTTCGGTCGGATGAGAACTCGACGCTGTAGGTGGTTCCCCTCGATCTCCAGCCTCGCTAAGCTTAAGCACGAGTCGACGGACGATTTCGGTGGTTTCTCAGTGCCGCTCGGTCTATTTTCTATCTTGAGCGACGAGATTTCCGCAGCACATCGATAAATTACATTCGCGCTCGGATAATTGTGTCGGACAACGCCACAATGCCAACACATCGGAGCATTCATGTGTCGGCCTCGGTTGCTCCTCACATAATGATTTCTTCTATCAAGAGATTGTTTCCCGTCGTACGCAAGCAGACGATCAGCGGCGCGAAATAAGTTCCCTAGAACTCAATATCTCTATTCCCTTCTAAAGTGACCGCTGGCGATATAAATTTCACCGCGGCAGCCTAGCGGCCTTCGCGCACGGTTTTCAAACGCCACAAATCTTCATTAATCTGCCTCAATTGCTGAGAAGGTCTCCTGATTTAGCGCTGTCCGATAACAAGCGTAGACCTTACGTTGGGCCAGTGTAGCACCCACGTAGTATTCGTCATCGAATACTGCTATTCTGCTCACTCATTACCCGGACAGACGGAAGAATTGACCGCTCGGCGACTCATCGGATATCGATACGAAGACACCGCTTCCACCGGGAGCGAATGACCCGAAAAATATTCGGATATTCCAGAATCAGGGAAATGACACTCAATCCATAGTGACACGGAGGGCAATTTCTCATCATGAGGCATACGGTCGATCGAGGATTCCGTATATTTTCTATGGAAAATGCCGTGGCTGCTCCCTCTTCCTCCGCAAAGCCGGTTATCCGAGACGCTTCGTTACGAAGTCTCATGAACCCAAACAATCGGGTTCATAATTTCACGCAGAGAGATACAGCGTCGGCGAGAGACGATTTTTGACAGGTGTCACGTGCGCGGGCTGGCCCCGAAAGCGTGACTCATCGTCGAGCAGCATGCCCGACGCAAGGGCGGCTTTGAAGATTTGCAAAAGTGCCGCGCGAGGCCGCCACCATCAGCGAGCACTTCTCTCTGTCTCTTTCTCTCCTATACGGAACGTAAAGTACCCAAGTCAGTAAATACTAGTGTTCACATGGCATAGTGCGAGCCGATATGCAGCCGGGCTGATCAGTTCACCATCGAAGTTCGATAAGCTCGGACAAAGTAGCTCCTAGTGTTGATCCTTCGGAGAAGGAGCACCTCGTATCCTTAGCGAGAGGGGTACCGTTGTTGTGACTTTCTACCGTGAATCCGGTGCATGGAAGCATCGCTTGACATGACCCAGAACTCAATGATATCGGTGGCTGTCTCCAGACCGGCGGATTTGGATCTCAGTAACCTCATCCCGAGAACGAGGCCCCAAATGCTCTCGAGTGACGTAGCGTACAGTTTCGAATCGCATGAGCCCGACTATCAGCGGTAGGTGAAGTCCGCTTGTCCCGAACAGAGTTTCCAGACCGCTTCGATTCCGTTCACGAAGCTTCGTGCCGAGCATCGCGCCTATGCGAATCGGACAAAAGCATATTCGTCGCCATAATGCGGCGAACGCTGAGCGCGTCTCCTGTCTGTGACTCCCAAATTAGGCACTCACGCAAGTTATCAGTAATGCCGTTCCCGCCGATCATGTGAAGCAGCGATTGCGCGGATCCGCGCGCCACGAACGCAGGCGGCCGCTTCACCTCACGCGGCAATCACTGTCGGACTCGAGGTAGCGATGGAGCCGTGTCGGAGTGCTTCAGCACATACTAAAAGCTCGGCACCCAGTCAGACGATTTGACTCTCAAATTTTGACACACCGCGTACGTGTTCGTTCGCACGTAGTTCTCCTTCAGAGCAGGGCGTCAGCTCTTCAGAGTCGTTGCAATGGTCCAGGAGCTTCCCTATTCGCGGAATTCCCTCCAAATCTTCTCGCTTCGGGATTCCGACTCCGATTCAGAGATACATTTGTGTACGCGCCCTCGCGTTCGGCTTGAAAAGCGCCGCAGATTTCGCAGAAATTCTGATCGTGCGGGAAATTCGAGTCGCTCCCGAGAAATGTTCTCCGAAGCCGCCGGGGGTTCGTACATCGGACTCATTCAGAATCACACTCAATCAATCGAGTCATCTCCATCTCGACGGAGTTGGTCGAGGGCCGAAACACGAGCTTGGATTCACGGTCGAGGCTTCCTGTTGTAGCTCTGTTTTTCTACGAAAGCTGCCGTATATCAGCCCACTCCCTTGGGGAATCCTCCGGAACATTTAGCCTGCGCTATCTGTCGCCTCTGCCGCTCGTCGGTTTCGAACGATGGAGCTTTGTCCAACCGCTATCATCGCTAATAATAAGTTCTGTCCCTTCTCAAAACTGTGCGATCATTTGCTCGTACACCGTGAGCGGCTATGGCACATTTTACGATAGCGTCTTACACAATACCTGACAAGCTCTCCTCTGGGACCGTGGAGCGCGGCAGAGTCGCGGACCTCTTCCAGTAGATGTACCGTGACGATGAACTCTTGTACACTTTTTGAAAAAGTGATTCAGACATCATTCATCACGACCTGACTCTGGACCTCGAGATCCGACATGTGTCGTCCACTGGGCGGTAGCGAGTCAGATCCCTAATCAGCCACAAGGCTCCAACGGAGATGATCAAGACTTATCTGTAAAGGCGTTTAATTCGAGGAAAACGCCATGGGAGTTGTCGGCCTTTAAGCCGTTCCAGCATTGTCGTTGTCGTCTTCCTCGCGCTTGTCTACACACTGACCGGCCCGCTGAGTTACCAAGGAGCGAGCAATGTATCGGCGCCCGCGATGTTTCCACCTATCATCTTTCCGATTCAGGCTATTGAGCGTTCCTTGTCATTGCTCTGCGCATCGATAAAACCATTCGGGAAACAAAGGAAACATCGCAGAGATTCAATCGAGTTCGCACGCGAGCATGCGCTCTCTTTCGTCGCCTGTTCGGTGTAAGTGTGACTCGAGGTTTCGTTGTTCCTTGCCCAGCAACGTAAAATCCGAAAGAGCAGAAGAGGGAAGTCAGCCTCGTACAAAGGCCTCAAAATTTATTCAGTTCGCTCTTAAGAGTGCACATTGACTCCATATTCTGGGATATGCTAACCCAAGCGATTCTATTCGGAGCGAAAAAACGACGAGATTTAATTCTACCCCTCCCGACGAAACCAGCCACCAGGCGTTCTCCATTCAACACGACACGGCACCAACATCGGATGTCCATCCTAATTGTTTTCCCTTCTGGTGTTGAATAGAAAGATACCTCCATTCACTGGTGACGTCTCTGCTCATGCTAGTTTCGAGCCCTGCGATATCGCTGCTGGACCCTATATTTTCTGTTTGGCGCCATAGCGAAAAAAAAGTCACAATTCCCCACCGTGGAAACATTTGTGAGTCGAGCCGAACGGATCGGAACATCACATGATCCCGGACGCACGTCAGTCTACGCTTCCATCGAAATCACTCAATCTGAAAAGTATTCGCGAATCTCTCAAAGTTTCGTCCGATCTCGTTGAATCTATCAGCTGATATAGGTTTCCTCAGACCCTCGTAGGAACAGGAGTCACCTGGCCGGAGGTCTACGCAGGTCCGATCCGTCTAAAAGACCGACTTTCTCTCCCCAGGGTGGACTGCGGATCCCCGATCATGACGACCGGGAATATCGTGTGCTCCGATACAGAGAGTGGGGAACTGTCACAGGAGCCGCGAATCGTCATCGGTGTCAGGTTCATCCCAGATTTCCCTCGTCGGAACTCAGAACCGTCCCACGGAGTAATCATGGGCTCTATTCTCATCGAAAAACAGGAAGAACACATGCCAGCCGATGAAGTTCGAAGGATACTCCTCTGCCAGCTCCCCGACGCTCCAGTGAAATTCCTCTTCCTCTCCCGTGATGGGTAAGTTGCGAGCGAGATTTCAGCCTCGAACGCTAGGTCGCCCCATCCAGTCAGAGTTAGCTTTCTACCGGTGAGGAGGTAGCTTTCTTGCCTAAATTCGATCGACATCAGAGCGGCAAGCGCTCCAGGTCGTGAGGTTGGAGCTCGGCGGGATGACAAGTTACTGAAATCGAGAGCACACATTTATTCTGAGCCACTAGTTTTTCCTCCTCCCATCGATGCCCACACCACATTGTACCACGCGACGGCGCCGCTCTAGGATCTGATTGAGGACGAAATATGCTTTAGAACATTGGCAAGTGGATTACCTGCGGCATATGACACGTTCTCCGATGGGCGTCACGATAGTTTCTACGAGTACGTCATGGCTATTTCACCCCGTCGTCGGTGCTATTGTTAGTGCATCTTGGACGACTCCGGCAATTGTTTCAGTTCTAGCCATTATTGTAATCGTGGGTCATTCATCTGTTTCAATGCCCGTCCTTGCACGCGCCCCGGACAAAGTGTTCGGGAGATCAATACAGAGACTCCGTGGATCGCTTTCGCGTCTCATTCAATGACTTCCGTTGATAAGATCGGAGCCCAACCGCAGACCAAAGTACGAGGTCCGTTCGTCCGGAGTCCTGGCCGTCGCGTCGTGCCGCCATGGGTCATTCCCGCCGTGCCGTGGGACATGCCCTCTCTTTGACAAGTTATTTGTTCCGGCAGACGAGAATGTCCTGGTTTAATCCATATGGCGCATATACCATGGTGTACCTCCCCCTCGTATGGTCTGATACATACTCACTAGGCGTTATGATATTTTTTCTCTTTTCCTTATCCCGACTCATTCGCACATTTTCACTCTTCGATCGGGGGCACAGACCTCATTCCCCGGCCGGACACGGGGATGGAATCCGGGACCTTCCCGACGATAGTCGCGTCACGATGGCGCGCGGCCGCATGCGCCGCGCGAATCGACCATTCTGCAACCGCGCGAGTGTCTACAGTGTGCACAGAAGTAGGTTCTACCACAGAACCGAGTTTCCGTTCCATTGAGGCAATCATCATTTTCATTCGGCCGCCCTCTTGTCCGCTCTCGTTTTTGATCGCTCTTAACAAGAAGAGCCGGCCACTGCGCGCACTTGGCTTCAGAGTACCGTGTATTCCGATATGCGCTCCCCGAATGCATCAGGTCACGCGTGATGGATTCGGTTCCGGCTGCTTCCGGCGTACGATCGCTAACGCAGACAGCCACTTAAGCTTGCTTGTTTGAGATGACATGGAAGTGTAGACAAAGTAGATGATACTGACAGCTGCGAGATGCGCAATCACAGCGGCCGGGGGAAGGTACGAGATACGCTCAATGGGCAGTCCAAGTTGGTCCGTTGGCCCAGTTTGAAAACCACGTGGATATCGTTGGAGTCTCGCAGTCTCCGTTCTCACTCAGCTATCTGATCGGCAGCACGTTGTCTCCTTTTGTGAGAACGAAGAAAATTATCTCTCTGGATTACAATCTTTCCTTATCTACCTGAGGAGCGTTGATGGCGGGCATACTGGCGAGTATATCCGCGCCGGGTATGCCCATCGCGCGCGTCGATTGTCCAGTCGGGATGCGTCAATCCACGCTATCGCCATGTCCCCATGTATTGTCAACATGAGCTGGCCGGCAACTCGACGGGCCGACGCTGTTGATGACCCTAATATTCAGAGGATAAGTTGCCGCTTGCTCATAAGTAGGAAACCGCTCACTGTATCAGCGTGAGTCGCCGAATACGTGCTCCGCAGAAACGGCCTGAGCTGCTGGTGGCTGATGTGTATCACGGCTGCTCCTAGCTCGCACATTGTACAAGAAGCGATAATTGTGCTTCAAACGCGGAGACTGAAATGATACAACGAACGAAGAAAGTATCAGATGATAACGCTATCGACGCGAGGAATCCGTCGCCGACCGTCAAATTGACGGAATGCTCGGCAAGTCTGGACAGAGCGCCGATCAAGAATGGGAAGGTCGGGCAGACGACCGGTCGTCCAACGGATCGACCGCCCGGACCACCGACAGAAATCGTCGGCTGCATGACCACGACCATTTACGGTTCTGTTCAATGACTCTGGAGTTCGGATAATTCGTGGTTTCGGGAAACCACGGAGTCGATCTCGTTCCTCGATACGGCTCCAATTACCTAAAGTTGTCGTTGCCTCTCGGCACCCGAAGACGTGTTCGAGATCGATCCTCACTCGGCAAAGAGAACTTCCTCGAAGTGGAGATTTGAGATCTCCGAGCCGAGACTGTGCTTTCTGTCTACGCTTTCTACGACTAAGTTTCCTTGTGTACGTGCCGGGATTCGACTCTGTGCTTAGAATTGGAGATCCGTGGGGGCTCCAACGTCGCTCCCCTCCAATGTATTTGGTTCTGATTGAATTCACATACGGCCATCGCTAGCCCATCATGAAGATGCAGAGATAACGAATAATCCCACTTTTGCTCCGTATGTATCAAGGGATTAGGAAAGTCGGAATTCTGTATCGAGATTTTGACGGAAAAAAATCTTCTCGACGCTCCAATCTAGAAAGAATTCGAGCAATTCGATTTTCCCCTGGAGACTTAATCCTGACATTTAGCGAGAGCTCCTTTCGCTCGTGCGGACTCCTTGCGGGCTTACGCCAACTACGTTCCGACGCGTATCAGTCGAAACTCGGCGAGGTAAACATGAGAACGAGTCCGTCACCACGAGCCCGGTCGTCCGGCTCAAACCACGCTCATAAGCCGTCAGCCCTGTCGAACAGAATGAATCTCTTAGATATGCTCCAATGGCCGACAATTGTTCTGCCTTGGTGTGATCGTATGTGCCCGCTCCCGGGACAAAATTTCGCCCAAACAAGCTCTACCACACTAACATAAGCTCCGAGCAAGTCGAAGCCACCGATGACGGATGGGACTTGGGACTGCCCGATCTGACTCCCGCAACGCATAGCTGGAGTGAGGACCGAGGACCCGTACCGAAATGTTTGGGGTTGGGGAAGGATTGTAGGGGAAAAATAAGGACCATTCCGAAAGGTGATGCGGCGGTGAGCCGTCTGAAAATCATCCTAAATCCAACTTTGGTGGATCCAGCTCAAGTTCGCTCGCTCTATTGTTCTTTCAGAGCTCCAGTTGACTTTGCCGAATCACGTTGCGTAATCAAGTGGTCGTGATAGGTCTGATCTTGTTATTCTTACGAACGGCTCCGTCGTGACATAAGTGAATATTCTCCCTCGGAGTCGCTCCGGAGCGGATACAATCCACTCAGCTTCCGATCTCGGTGTTCTCCGCGGCTTGAAACACCGGGAATCGGAGGAGTTTCGCATCTGAGGTCGCCGCAGGCTCCGAACGTATCTCATCGCTGATTTTCGATTAGCCGCGGAACAGTTACTCTTACTATTCGCCAAAACGATGAATAACTTGAACGGCGCCAATGACTGAGACATGGAGTGATGCGTAGTGTAGTGTAGCGTAAAGCAAGTTTCACAAGTTGCGTTGACTTCAACCGAATCGTAAGCCATCCATTGACTGCGTGATGACTCACCATGGCGGGGTGACGTCAGCACAGCAATTCATCGCGAATCTGGCTAACTTCGGCATTTTCAGCGCTCGTTTTCTGAGAAGTGTCGCTTGACCCTGCCGCTTCGACTCCGCTCCGTCTAGACGAGCATTCACTCAGACGGGCTCTTTTCGTGCGGCGTGTGATCCGAAGCAGAACCGGACGCTTCTGATAAGACCTCGAATGCTTCGGCAGACGGACGGGCACATTCTTCAATAGATACACTCTTCCGAGTCGTTCCCCATCCCCCGTTGGAGCTACTCATGACCGAGTACCCGAGAATCCAAAGCATAAGAGAGACCTCTTATGGGGGATTTTCCGTCTGAGGAACCTGGATGAACACCAATGCGGATACTCGGAACTCGGAGGCTTGCCGATGATTGGTCCTTCGTTGGGTGGCGATGACCTGCCGTGAGCCTATCGCGTCAGCCTGAGAAACTCCCGTTCGTATCCTCCGTTGTGGAATCGCTCATGGCCGGGCGAAGCAACGCTGGATTATTTGCCGTCGGCAATGTAGGTGGACGGAGGTGTACGTTCCGTTACCGAGAATCGTATCCTTCGAAGGAGCTCGTCTAATCAATTTCGCGTCTGACGCACTCGGCGACCCATTTGAGAAGGCTGACCTAGCGGAAGGTTTCGGATGTTTCCATCGTGGGTTGTTTCTCTTTTCCTACGAGCGCAGGATCGAATGTAGGCACTACAAGCGCGAACGTCTGCTGCGTGTCTCGCATGCTCAGCCGACTTGACCTCGTTGTTGTCGACGTTGCCGTCGTAGCTGTCTTCAAGCTCGAGAATCTCCCCATCGTCCTATGGAGTTCCATGTCGGTGTCACTCTCAATAATAAATCAACGATAAGCGAGATATACGGTGAGCGGAGCTCCGGATCATCGACGAGTCCCCAAATCGCCGACTCTTGAGCATGCTCCTTGCTTGCCATTGATTTCTTATCATTGACGCGCGTTCCGGGAAAAGGGGTCCGTTTGTCTCATCAATGCCACGAAAGTGCATTCTAGTCGTCCTAAAAATAGCGCATGAACGCCGGTGGTGCTAGCCTCAGTTACGACTTGACGGAACTCCGGCAGTTTCGCTCTTTCGCTTTTCGTTCGTGAGCAAATTGAGAGTAATTATCTAGAAGAACTCTTCGCAGAGTGCAAGCGATGTCGCTGCCCGCTACCATATACAACGGCCGCTAACGGTGTTCGTGTGACAGACAGCATCGGCGGCGATGTTGACAACGTTTTTTTTTTCTAATGGCGGCATCGTGGGTTATTCCGCCGACTGACCTTGACGTGGTCGACGGGCCAGTCAACCAGCGGAATCAATGATCATTGTCACCTCGGTTTACTTCCTCCACGTAAATACAACCTCTCCGCGCTCCTCCGTTCACGCTCCCTCGCCACTGAGTCGCAGACTTGCTTTGCTTCGATGGATTCAATTCGCTTCTGTCGGCGATTGAGCTCTGGGAAAACCCGTGTCGTTTCACTATCTGTCCAAGCGGAAACAGGGAGAGCGATCAATTCTCGTGGCGGCGCGGTTTTCGTAACGAGGCCTTCCGAAAGCTAGACATCAGAGCCCTCGTTCATTGAAGGCACGGATACGATCAAGTCGACATCTCGGTATCTAATCGATTGGAAGGAAAAAGGTGATCAGTGACAGCTCGAGTTATTCCTGATCAAATCTGAATGTTGCTGGTCGCGGGTGGAGGAATTCTCGAATTGAATCAAGCCCGGTCGACAGGTCAGCATCGAGGCAGGCTCGGGTTCTCGTATCTGTGTATAGCGATCGGTGGCACGCGACAAATGAACGATGAAAACCGATCGCCCGTTAGGCCGAAGAGGGAGCATTGGACATAACATTTCTCGCATACCCCCCTCTCGCAGGGACTGGTTTGATCGTATTCACCTTTTCCCAGATTCCCCCCCCCTCACACCTGATTCGACGTCACTCACCAGAGGGAAAATGCCTCTTTTTTATCGCGGAGGTCCCTCAGGGATCGTCACGAAAGGAATGAGAGCGAGCAATTCGGGGATTCAATCCACTCCTTCATTCCTCCGAGGATGAGGCTTGAGGATACGCAGTATTCCATTCATTTAGTAATTCCTCCATTTCTACGCGAAAGGTCAACAATCAGCAAGAACGCTTGATACTCCATCAGAGATTCGCAGCGGCGGGCAAGCTCAAGGAATGCGCTCTTCTCCTCTCTTCTTCCCGTTTTATATTTTTGTTGTTACCAGTGGCCCAAGATGATAGGAGGCTTTCCGAATGGCGCTTAGAGTACGTTGGCCGAGGTCTCCGTTTCGTTGTTAATCATCTATCCCGGCCTAATGCGCTCTACCACAGTTCCTGTCAGACTTGATACGACGGGTGAACGAAGCGAGTACGGCTCCTTGAGAGATAGTCGCGCATTGCTTGCCGTCCTTATATAACGAGCGAGACGGGGGCCTTGTCCCGGAACTCGTGGCCGCTCTGCAACAACGTCGGCTCGTAGAACCGGAAAGTTCCGGAAAGCTTCTCTCGTGAAAAAGAGCTTCGAGGAAGACCCGAAGATTTCTTAGTGAGCTCTCGTGGACAAGAAGCCTTACCAATCAGCGAATCGGTCGAAGTCCTCGCGACAAAAGGCGAAATTCCAAAAAGAGCGTACGGCACTACTCGTTCGTTCTCTGACTCGCATAAAACGATTAGGCGTGATCATTCCAATGACCCACGGATGCGAACAGCTTCCAATGAAGAAATAACCTGGCGCCAAGCTCCCCACTAATCTTTAGTGAGGGTTGTAAAGCGGCGTTTCCTTTCTCGTTTCGGGAGATCCCTAGACGACATTGTTCCCATGAGGACTCGAGAATACTCCTCTCGCGGACCGAGAACTACGAACGGAGGTAGTTCTCTCATGACAAGACCTCCAGACCCAGCTGCAAAGAACGGTCGGGGCTTATGGTTGGGACGGACAGATTCGAGGGGGGATTCTCTTCCTCCGTTCATTCCCGACTTCCGAAGTTGTGTCGCTCCTCCTGTCCGCTCCCGGATGCTCTAGTGTCCTTCGCACGCTCTCCCTCACATTTCACTGCTAACACCTTAGCTTTGTATCGGGGAACATTCGCTGGAAAATACTCTTATGTGTTCTCTCGCGAGGAGAAACGCGAAAGGCATCACAGACGTACCCTCGGGCCGATTCAAAAGTTTCGTACTGGCCTCAGCGTTCTTCGTCGTTTCGTGTTGACCTTGGGGTCACCTGACCACCTGAGCGTCCTCTATCGCTCATTTTTTCGTTGCTTCACGGTGCGCTCCTCCGCACTCGGTCGGTTCACATGATCCCGCCACGGAGTCTTTCTAAAGCTCCAGCATTGCGTTTTATTTAGAAGAATCTCAGGTTTCGATGGGAAATTTCTCAATGAGTGATTCCAGCACGTTCGGTCAAGTAGAAACAACGTCCATTAGTGAGTTTTTTTCTGGCAAGGGAACTCCCGAATGAAACAACATGAAAAATTCGGCTTTCTCTAATTCACTCGAGAATACGACAGCCAGGAAATGCCCAACGCCGCCGTCGTATTCGATAATGTTGGGAAAGTACGTTCATTCAAAGCGTGAACGTAAATATTTCTGAAGCGGGAACGACAGAAAAATTTGTGCGCCGCGATATTTGATGGCTGAATATTCGCCGAGACCCGAGTGGATTTGAGCCGAATACCGCACGATCTTCTTGGAATTTTCCCGTCGTGCTCCCTCGCAATCGAACCAATAATACATATTTTCGATCAATCATCTACGAGAGTCGTGTGGCCAGGCGCCGCGCTCCGCGCACTTTCGGACATGAATGGGCCGAACGATTCTCGTCGCGGACTTCCGCGCGTTGATGTCTGCCGGGAGATTACGATTATTTTTGTTTGCCTCGTTCCAGATCTCCAATAAAGATAAAACAAGAGCGGAACGTGACGCTGCAGTGTCTAATTGCTGAAAATCAATCGCTGCGTCTCGTGAGACAATATGGTGAGTTCATCGAGTCGATTTCTCACGCGATCCGCCCTGAAACAGAAATTCGCATCCCACTTGTTAAGGAACAGCAGAATCAATCCTTCCGCTGCTCCCTTCATTCGAACTCATTAAAACGTTACACCTTCGGTGAATCGCAGAGAAACACAAAGTCGGCGTCCAATCCGATCGGAATCGGAAATTCGGTTACGTCTTCGTCGAGAACAACATGGTCTTGCGGCAGGTCCGTGACGTGATCTGGGAGCAACTCTTCATTGACCAACAGGGCTTCGACGACGTTCCCTCTTCGAACAACTCATTTAATTTCCTTGACTCGTATGGCTTCCCGATCGTCTCAAAACAAGAGGTGTTCTTCACCGTGCTCGACATAGTTCACAACTACACTATCACAATCCAAACGACACAAAGATTCTGTGCACTGGATCAGATCGATCACTCGGATAGGGAGAAGATTGAGCCTGTGAAAGTGCCGTCTTTCGCCAAGGTGCCGCTGCGGCAACCCGAAGATAAGGACACGCCGAAAAGATCGAATAAGAGTGTCAGCATACACGAACCTAACGAGCAGTGAGTACGCATTCATTTTCTGTCGCAGAATTCACACGGGAACGCCCGGCTCCCGGGGAAGGATTTTTCCGGGGGTGGACTCGATGTAGTTGGGGGCTCGTAAGCTACAATATACGATTATATTCGTCTCTTGCAGTTTGAAATGGGAGATCTTGATCAGTTATGCCCGAAAAGAGACCGAGGAGCACGCACTGCAGCTGAAGGAAGAACTGACCAAGAAAAATCTCCGAGTATTCCTCGACGTTCATGAAATCAACGGCGCTGACGACTGGGCCGATTCCTTGAACAACGCCATTAAAAATTGCAAAATTTTTGTGCCATTGGTCTCTCCGCTCTATGGTATCACGAAATGGACAAACCGTGAGGTGGGTTCGAGAAATAAGATCCTTGATGGATGGAAATCCGAGAGCGCTTCCAGAGATCCTCCTGGCCTCTGTGTTCGTGAAAAGAACGAAATTTTCACACCTGACTCGATGGCGCCGTTTCCTCGTATCACTCATTCTAACAGGAACTTCCGAATCAAACAATGCAGGTGAAGATGGCCGACAAGCTGGAAAAGAAGATACTTCCGGTTTCGTTTGTTGATAGCTGGCCTCCAGACTGTCTCGCTATCCAATTAGCTACGATTCAGTACATTCACGCGTATAAGGGAACGACAGATCACCACGACGATGAGGGATATTCCGGGGATTCGCATAGTACTAGTCTTCCTCTGACGCCCACCAAAAAATGGGACGCCAAGCACGTCAAACGCGTTGCTGACGACATTTCGAGGATTTTCAAAGCTGAATGTGACAAAGAGCGGAAGAATGCCGTGCGTAAATCTGTCAAGAGGATCAGTAGCTCTCGCGTAAGTACTCTGCGCTCGCCTTCGATTCAGGAACAATCAAAAGACCAAGTACCTTCTCCGGCTGTCCACCGACATTCGCACCGAATTATATACGATACCGGTACGCCTAATTGAGTATACTTGCAGCCAACGCCTCGGAATTCGGTCCTGCTGCAGACGCCTGTCGAGGAGGTCGCCTCCTTCCCGCTAGGCGTCCAGGAGGCGAGCGAAACAAACCAGAGCCCCAAGGTCAACGAGAAAATCGACATCCTCATCTCTGCTCATCCTAAAGAGAAGCTGAGAGCAGATCAGGTCATGCAACATCTCAAATCGAAGGGCTATTCGGTCTGGTCGACGACGGAAATGGACAAAGAAATACAGAAATCGGGACTCATCAGTCCTCTTGGCGATCCACCGCACGCCCACACGAACTTCGCGTTCTCACCTACGAGTCGGAATCTGAACTGGATTCCAGAGAGTCCTAGTGAAGGACAACACACGCCCGCCTCCAGAGTTGGATCCGGCGAGTCGGCGCGCCTCAGAGTCGCTCAAAGTAACCATTTTTCGAAGAAAGCAGCTCAAACAACGCTCGTCATATTCCTGATTTCTGACAGTTTCCTGAGGAGCACAGTGTCGATGCAGCAGGTCTACTATTGTCAGAAACGGAAGCACGTCATCGTCGTGAAGACTGAACTCTCTAAAGATCTTCCCTGTTGGTGGGACTCTCTCATGGGCGCGGATAGCATCGACGTAAGTTCTGAACGGGAGCTCGGGATTCTTCGGGACGAGTCCGACCCTGGAACCCGAGGCATCCCGCTCGAAAAAATTATACCATCTTTTCCTGCTCATGACCGTGCGAGGACGGTATTGCTTGAGAGTTGTCCGAAAAGATCGCGAAATTCCAGATCGAAGCTGCTGATTTCAAAGCTCAACTGGATAAACGGGTCAAGAGCGAGCTCAAGAAATCGGATCCCGCGAGCGACAATGAAACCGAGGAGAAATACATCTGCGAGAGGTGGGAGAACGAGCTGAAGAAACTCCCCTCCCAAGACGGCTGCGTCTACGTGTCGGGCTCAACGAGGGACATCGATGAGCGAACAACGAAAATCTGCGAGTGAGTTCAAAGCCTCTGTCTGTGTTATGCGTCTGGATGGAGCAAAGCCAAATCTCAAACGTCCAGAAAAGCAAGCACCAGGAGCAGAAGCGACCGCTCATGACGTTGAATTTACTAGCCTAATAAATGACCAATTGACAACCAGCTCATTCATTCGCCAGGCCGATATTGATCTCTTTCGATCCCGCTCCAATCCCGCTTCAATGTTTTCTCTCGTCCTTACAGTGAAATCGGGAAAAAACTCGCTCTGGTAGCTTCAATCACCTTGATCACCGGAGGTTTCTACGGTGTCCAACAGCTGGTGGCCAGAAGCTTCTTCGAAGCGCGGAAAAACCGCGCAGCCGCTGCCGACGCTGCACCGTCGACTGCACAGTCCTTGTTCCACCTTTTACCCGTGAGAGATTCCGGCAACTACGCTGACGATGCACCTCAAAATAGCGACGGAACGTTTCGAGATGCTGAAGGTGGCAAAACGCTCTACATCGGGGACTCGATCAAGGAACGGGAGCTCCTCGTCGGGAGGACATTCAGCATTTGCATCCTCATTGGAGGTCCGTCAAGGTTTAGTCGGTCGAGGCAAGCACATTTGAATTATGCATGCGGGCACGCACCTTCGGAACTAACTCTGCCTGCTGCATTGTTCGGACCGGTGCTCCTGCAATCAAGTTTCTCAAAAGATTTGTGCCTTTCTATCTTCCAGGGGACGCCCGCGCTGCCCACGAAGCGGAACAGTTCCTGTGGAACGACCATTTTGTAATACCGATAATATCGACGGGCGGCGCCGCAGGTGGCGACCACAACCTTGACGCCAAGATACTCCAGGTTAGACTCCAGGGCATATGACAGAAATGGAAAATCACTAAATCAGTCGACTGCTGAGTCATGAGCTCGATCATCCTCCACGAGACCTTCTTTTATCCGTTCTGAGTAGTTTTGCTCATCCTCAGAGCCCTCATTGTGTCGATGAGGCGAAATGGGACGTACTGAAAGCTTCAGACGTGCCGCCGGAAGTTCTCGCCGAGAACGTTATCGAAATCTGGGACCGGCTACATACTCAGATGCTCGCCTTGGGGTAAGTGTTTTTCCCACTTTTCCAAGGTCTCGTCCTTGGCTCGACGTCATACCCATACAGATTAATTTAATTCATTTATCGGAATGATGAATGCTTTCGCAGACGGAGACCCGTTCGTCTGCTGCGCCATCGACCGGTTGTCGTGAAAAAACGTCGACGCTTTCGACCCGACGCACTCGACGTGGACAATGCCGGGGAGAACAGCGTTCCGTTCATGGTTCCGGCGGATGATGAGGATGCGTCATCGCTGGGCTCCATCGAGAGACCGACCTATCTCAAGAGCTTGAAATGGATGCGCGCCTTCAGCCTATTTAATCGGATCTCGACACACTTATAGCAATGGAGACTCGGTGCCCGCAGGTGGCGCTTCTGCTACTTCACGCGTCGAACGAAGCTTCCTGCTGGTGCCGACAGGAAATCCTGAAAAATCTGCCGGCGGCCTCGAGGAAAATCACCCGCTGGCCGCAAATTGCGCGCAAAACTCCCCGAGGGAGGCTCACGGGATGTAGTTTTCCCGCTGACTAAGTTATGATGTTTAACGAATGCTTAGGAAAATTCAGTTGTAATGTATGGTCACAAAGCTGGGAAGAACACGAACGTGGTCAAGGGGCGAGCGAATCGACGTAGTATTCCCCGAATGTACGGGAGGGAATCGTGTTATCACTCCTCGGAGTAAGATCCTTCCATGATAGATCTGTATGGCGAAGACTACCCTCACTCACGTCGCGTCGTATCTCCACCGATAACACTACAGGACAATGATCGAATTGCGTTGCGAAAAAGCGTTGACGGCTTGTATAGATTGTAAACGTACAAAGTATCATTGACGGAGATATATATTCATGTGTACATAAGATATACAAAATAGACGGGACAATCGGACGGTGCGCTATAATAAAGAAGATCCATCGACGATAATTCCCTTATTCTTCCGCGCCGCTACTTACTGCGCGGATGGTTCAAATCGCAGTCATCGAGTTAACACCGCCCGACTCCATCGAGTACCCTGAAAGGTTAAAGAAAGAACTCCTCGCTGAATCAGAGAGCTTTTCTGTCACATTTCCGAAACCGGTTCTTTGACAGTTCGTTAGCTCGAACTATCCGCGACTCGTCGGATAGTTCGATCGGTGTCGGAGGAATGAGTCTTCCAAGGGATACTCAACTATAACAATTGAAATTGCAATCCGTACACGGAAGAGACGGAGTTCGACGGCTTTGTTTCCGTTTTGCAGAGCTTGTGAAGATGGATACTATCGTGAGCGTGATCCCCCAGAGAAGGACTCCTTCAGAACAGGATTCGCTGGATGTACATAGCCCATACCAGGGAATTTCAGAGGGAGCAAAAGGAAGCACCTACCTTTCTCAGGGCCTCAGGAGTGACTGTCGATATTCTTCGACATTCCGCAAATGATATCATTGGTGGCGGGAGTGTCTCGTTGAATGCGTGCATATGGTATCCCCAGGAAGAGCTCAGAAATCATGAGAGCAAAGCTCAATCCTCTCTCGAGATCGTCATAGGAATGCCCAGGAGTAGCGGAGAATATCATCGGTCTTGTACATAAGTTCCGAAACAAGGGTCAAAATATTCTTTTACCGCGCTCGCTACCTTGCAGAGAATGTCGGCAGCCAGCGCCTCGATAAGTCAGTCCGGCCAATGAAAACACAGATTTTTTTGTTTGTTGGCAAACATTGTTAAAAAAATTTCTTCGATGGGTTTTCTTTTATTTACATTCATATGCAGTACAAACTGTATAGTGTCATCATGCTTAAAAAAGCGAGAAAGCAAAAACCACTTCATAGACTTTCATGGATAACACTATAATCAATATCATCGTATTAATGATCAACTACAGCCGTCGCACAACCCGCCGTTCTCGGGCCGGCGACGAGGGTGCCGGGCTTCCACCGGAGATACGCTCTCCGGTGGAGACGCGACTTGTGTTCGAGAGCCGATTTTGCTTGTTTTTCAGCAGATATATCTGAGATCTTTCGATATTACATCACCGTCTGCAAAACCTTCATCATACTTGATTCGATTCCTCTCACTCTTCTGAGGGGAAACTTCGTGTACGGAGTGTCATGTAGATTTGTCTGTTGAGTACTCACGTGGTTAGTTTAATTCTCAAAACTGACAGCGCTGCTTCCGGTGGAGAGTTGGCCAGAGATGCGCTGTACTCGAACCCGACTCGACGTCGTATTCTCAATGTCCGAGACATTGTTCGTTCCGGTATTTTGTTCTGATTTCCAGGATAAAATATCGAGCCAGAAAATTTAGCTCTGCGGTTGTGTCGTGTTCGTGGTTGTGCATGGGCGTCTGTTCGTGTATAGTTGCATGCGGTGAGTTGATTGATTGGTGGGTCCTCGTCTCTTAAATTAACTGTCGAACTTCATCGAGGACGAGAATTAAACTCGTTCTCTGTTTGTCCTCTGCTCGAAATCCGCTTGGGTTCAAATATTTATTAGTGGCGAGATGAATTCCCTACACCTTAATATTATTAATATCGTCGTAGTTATTATTGTTACCATCATCAGCCTCGTCCTCTTCAATTTCCATTACCGTCATTATTGTTATCGATAGTATTGTTATTATTGTTGCTTCGTAGGCGACATCAAATGACTTCTGCGGTGTGAATTATGTTGTTTTCTTTGTCGTTGATGTATCTCTCCCTAATTGTTTCTTCCTCGCCTCGAGAGGTAATGATAGCTATAAGTGGTCAACTAGTGCTCTGATGTTTGTCCACAGACCAGCGGAGCGGGCAGGCATAGGGAACCGGGAACTCAGTCATCCGTCGTCGTTGACGCCAGCGCTTAAAACTCCGCGCAGACGGTCGTCAAGACTGATTTCGGCTGAACCAGACAGTCAACAAGAAACAAAAACACACTCCGAACAGCCTGTGAGAGTTATTCCAGTGAATACGGACTCGCCGCCAGCGGTCGACAGCTTCTATGGAAGATGGTCTACGGAGGTCTGCATACCTCCGAAAGAACCAGTTCTACTTTTTGGTTAGCGCCGCGCCAGCTGAAGTCGGCCGAAGTCCGCCTTAGCGGTCACTCGGAATAGAGGCGATCGAGTAGTGTTCCTCACTGGTGGGTTGTTCGAACGGTTCCCCCGGGTCAAATCTACTCTAGAAAACTCACAACCTCCTGCCGTCCAGGTCAAGCTAGCATCTATAGAGCTATGTTTTAATAGTACTGGTAGTTGTAGTAGTAGACGACGACATGGTAAAGGGACAACAGCGAGCTCCTTTCATCACCCTCATCATTATGATGAAATCGGAAGAACTCCAAACAAAGTTCCTTGCAAGTAGGTAGTACCACTAAACACCGTGCCACTCACTCGGGCGGAATGGCCCGAATGAATCTCTGGGGGAAAGTTCATCCCGCCCGTTTTAATGGCTTCCCGGCGCTCGATGAAAGCGACCGGATAACGCGAGTAATTCGGGAACGGCCGCTTGCACAGGTAAGGCTCGTTCCTGCTTGAGTTTCTGTTTGTCTCTTAATCAATAGTTCAAGTGTTGGCTGGCTGGCAAAATGTATGCGTCAGCGCCGAGGAGTAATCGTCTCGGACTTGATCAAGTTGCGAGTATGAGTAGTAGTAGAAGTAGTAGTAAACAACGTTAGCCTCTCGGCTGTAAGCCGTTATTCAAAGCTACATTCCCTCCCGATAAATTATCATCAACACATCAGGCGTTCTGCCGCACGTAAGAACGTGTAGAGGCGGTGAGACAGCGTTCAAAAAACATCAGCTCGTACATAGGTGTTCGTCCGTCAAGCTGGTGAACTTGTTCCTCGCACACTTACTGAGAGAGAGATTGAGACACGAATCAGCACACGGCCAGTTTTCCAGACGGCTGGCGAAATCTAGTGCGTTGAATTTACAGGACCCAGATCTGGCAGTCCACCTCCGCGACTCGGCTAATCGGAGAGTCGGAAATTCGGCATTTCGAAGCGAAGCGGGGATTCAGCTCGATTCGAACAGCCTTCATGGAGTGCCAGCCTATGTTATTTCTCCAGGACGGATAATGGTAGACTGCCTCGATCAATGCAAAGACTGCTGCTTCTAATGCGGCGGCGGCTGCGAATGCTGCCTAAAGACGGTCCACGATGACCTCTCGCGCGACGTCAGAGACGGTCTTCCACCACTGGTTCGACAAGCTCAGAAATGTGTAGCTCTATCACCGGCCGAAATGACGGTTATAGTTTCCGACTTCCGATTGGATTGGGGGATCGATCGTTCTACACTTCTGAACTCGAATTTTCGCGGTGGATCGTTATAGAAGCGATTTCCTCACTACTAGAAGACGGATCATTTTGGGACGAATTTTCATCCACGACCAGACACAAGCACTTTTGAGTGCTGCGGGAGACCACGAATATCGCTCGTCCTGGCTCTCCGACGATGATCCCGGGAACTGTTTCCTCTCCGTCACTGCTGATGAGTTCCCCACAGGGTTGGCATACGGCCGTTGCGATGATGGCTCGTGGATTCTCAGAGCCTCAATAAGATAAATGTTTGTTGATCGTGGGGGTCAATAATTTGATCTCTGACGACACGAGTCACACGACCTTTGTAAACAGTTTGGGTTTTCGAGTCCAGCAAAAGTCGCCGGAATATGAGAGTCAACCATCTCCGCATTCGAATTGAGTAGCATCGGTATCCTCGATTCCGGCAACATGAAAGCGGGCGCGCCAAGCCCGCAAATCAGTCGTCTGCCCTGCTGATCTCAGTCGGATGATTTTCGATATTGTCGATATCAAGATTAATTATCTAGAAGAATAGCTGTTATCATCATCATCAAGAGTCGCAGAAGACCAAAGCGTTTCTGCTTAAAATGGATATAAACTCTATGTAAGCGAGCAGCGAGAAGCACTAACCGGTTCTCCACAAGGCGTCAGAACAGTTTAAATGGACCGCCGACGCCGAGGGAATTTTATGTTTGTCAAACTCACGGTGCTCAAATAGGTTTTCACAACCACTACTATCGTATGTCTCTAGGGTGTCCCCCTGTCTCTCTTTCTCACGCTGTTGCCTCCTGTCGTCGGCTCCCTCTGAGAGCCTCGTGAACGATGTGAGATGTCCTCATTCACTCTCCACGAGATAGAGCTGTTCAACGAGACGTAAGCGTCAAATATGCGGTCACGTTAGTGGCTCTGTCTCCGGAGATACTGACCGTTTCGTTTCACATCAGTCAATTACTCCATCAACGAGGCGGGAGAATCGATGACCACTGCCTGCGCAATCCTCTTAACAACGCTTGTTCGAACGTGAACCTTCCACGCTTGTCCGATCTCCCCGCAGCGGGTCACGACCGCGCACGACAAACCCCCGAGGGGAATGAGTACCGAGCACATCCTCTTCAACTGCCCGCTTGGAGCTCACTGTGTTGAGTACACGTTTGCGGTTTTCCGTATTCACGCGGGAGGAATTTCAAATCCGATGCGGATGACTCGCCATGGAGCGATTTCTTTGGGATGAAGGTACCTAGTTTTGTTTGTCTGTAGCTTTGTTTGTCTGCCGGTTTAGAATAGCCGTATCTGTTCGGTGTTAACTGTCGTCTACTATTGTCGCCATCGGTATTCGACCATATCGTTCTGATTACACAAGATGAATTTACAACGTGTCCTACAAATGGAGGACTTCGCGTATTCTCGTCGGAGTATCTCCTGAAAACCACACTGACCGAGGGCAGCCCACAGAGTCCAAAATCACTAACCAGAACTAGCACGTTAACTGGATACGAGTGCGGCTCGCTCATCTCGTGAATCCAGCCAAAGTCGAAGCATAGAAAGAGTTGGGCGCGCCTCATTTGGTGGTCTTGAACAAATATACTGTGGATCTCTGATCAACTTGTAATCAACTTTTCGTCATTTCTATCAAGTGAGTAGCTAAGCACATCACTCGATCCGCATCTATGTATAACCTGCGTTCGGTAATGACCTATCGAAGTTTCACATGTTTAGCATTCTTGCTCGTTCGCTCATCCGATCATTCGTTCTACTCATTATTACAATCATTCCTCTGTTGCACACTTACATCTCTCCTGCATTCATAATCATCATCGTCGTGCTACCGGTCAGAGAGTCTACGTTTCGTGTGTCCGAGCAGTCACACGGGCGAAACTGACAGCGATACAGCATGAGGATCGCGTCATCTGATTCTACCTTTTAACGATCACGTATCTCGACGATGTTATTCTGCTTAGGTCGACAGCTTGGGTCGACTTGCCCCGCTTGCGTCGCAGAACGCTCATCCGCACCGGTAGGTAAATTGGTATAATTCTTCCTAGAGGTTGCGCGAAGTTTTATGGGTGTCGACGGCTAATCGACGGTCGGAGAAAAGTCTTGTCGAGTCCTCGACTCGTTGTCGTAAGCTCGATGTTTCCATTCACGCTCGCACGATCATGAGGGAGTGTCACAGTATCGCTGCCTTTTGTCTCAAGTTACTCCGTATCAGTTCATCGTCGGGTGTGTGGAAGAAGACGTTGTTCCACATCATGTATGGAGATCTTTGACTCCATCACCTCACCGTCGTTCTTGTCGATCGACGGCAGTGTATATGAATATTCAGGTTGTTAAATGAACGAGCCGATATAGAAAGATAAATGTGAAACATTCCGAGTACTTGCCTTGGGCATATTTCGCTTCTGTCGATTTTTGTCTTTTGTGGGTGGGATGTTGTTGGTGTCTCTGTTATCCAGTCAATAATAGTCAGTTAGTACTCAACTATACTTGCATATATTGCTCTTGCGTCTCCAAAATGATGTCTCGTAGATCAGAATTATATGGCGATATCGGTATCGATCGCTCGCCTGCATTTGATAATGTTCATGAACCTTTAATCATCGTATCATCATCATGATCATACAAAAATCTTCAAATCAACAGTCAAAACCTCCCCGTGAAATTCTTGTGCTGACGTCGTCTGCTGATACTGTTCGCGTCGGTCGAGTCCGATACTCGATGAATGTAATTGTCGTAATTGTTGCTTCGATATATTGTTGTTGTTTGGTTGATTTCGTTTGTATTCCCTTGTTGTTGTTGTTCTTGTTGTTGTTGTTGTATTTTTTAACTGTACAGAGCTGTTATTTTCGTTCAGATGATCCTTTCGATCAGTGGGCTCTGAGAGCTGCTCAAGTTGGACTCGGTGTGTTTCGGGCACACTCCCATAAGTAGGTTATGTAGGGATGCGCTAGCACAATACACAGTCCAAAATTAACAACGAATCTTCCAGGACTCAAATCACAACATACCATACGACAAGGTAAAGACGCACACACCCGGTATGGCTGGACTTCGCTGTAGAAAACTTACTGTTAGGCTCTGTTGGAAGAACAGGACAGAAAGGTTGTCAGTAGCGAATATTTCGTCACACCAAGCCAAGATCGACTCGGGTGATTAGGACAGTTATTATTACGTGAAAGATTCTTCATGAAGTCGAGGTCAAAAATACGAATTCCATTCACGATGTAGGAGGAGGGACTTGCACTGGAGGATAATGGAAGGCCTATGATTCTTATGAATTCGTTCAGGAGAAAAGGTTTCTTTGGATCCATTTGTAGAATAAATTGGTGAGAGTGTTTTCCAAGCGGTATTTTTGTGTATGGATGGGCTTCGTGAAATATTCGGATGTATCCGTGTGGAGTCGACGCGGTAACCACTGAATTTTCCATTCAGGCAAGTTCGGCGCCGGATTCCAAGGAGTCGAGTGCAGAAGTCTTTTGAAAGTTCGGAAAGACGTGCTATGAGAGTTCTGAGTTGTGTTCAAACATAAAAAGTCGAAGGGCGTCAAGTAGGGTGGTTAGTTTGGTTCTGGCGTCTCGGAGAGTGGATAGATAGGTTCGGATATACGAAAAGTATCGCATTCCGATTCCAGACCGTTCATGGGTGCATATTTCACCTGTCATATGGGTTTTCTGGTCAGTTTTGTCTCAAGTTAAACGAAATTCACAAGTTTGTCGTACGACTGTTTCGCTTTGGGTCGCCGGCCAACGAAGGCAGACAACCGGGGCAAAACTCCAGGACAAAATTGAAATTGTTCGGTTTCCTGAACAACGTGGCTGGGATGCATTTCGATCAGATTGATGACATGGTTCGTCAAATCGTGGCTGTTGTCGAAATTGTTTGTATCGTGTATCGTTTTTGTCAAGACATGGGGTCCGCTCTTAGTCACATTTCCTTCTTCATTTGTTTCTCTTTGCGAACAACCATTTGGGTGTTTGCATTGGTGTTGTTAGTAACAATGGTCGTTGCCGGTCGCCGAGACTGCTTACTACTGAGGCTCGATAAGCATTCCCTAGAACGTTCTTCTGCTTCCCGTTTGTTCGTCGGTCACAAAGCTTGTTTGCGGTTCATGAAGTCTCGATTTCTAAGTTCAAAGTTGAAGCTCTCGCTTGCTCACTTGCACCCAGCTTTCCGGTGGAATTTTCTGTGCTGGGTGTAGGTTTCTTAGTCATGCGACTCGGAGTCGAGTCGCTCAAAGCCATTTGTTGCTTTAAGGCGGCCGCTGCTGTTGCTACTAGAATGCACGTTTTCATATGTCTCGACGACAAGAGAGAGAGAGAAAAGTTTTCCTTGTAACAGTTGTTGTCGTGGTAAAGGTTAATCTGGGAATCAGTCGGGGGATTTGGAATACTCTGAGCAATTCGGAGGCAGAGGGTTCGAATATTATGTCAGGGTAAGGGAGTGTTTGAGGGAGGGGGGAGAGGATTTTTCGGAAAGTGAATCAGCAAGGGATTCTTGAGCCTATTGGGTTTGTAGTTGGGAAAGTGAATCAGCAAGGGATTCTTGAGCCTATCGGGTTTGTAGTTGGGAAAGTGTAACAGCGGTTCGGGAATCAGGGTCTGGGGTATTGGGTTGATGGGTCATGATGGGTTCTGGGTTGAGCGGTATAGGGGACGAGACAGGTTGGAATGTTCGAATCGTCGTCCTAGAATTTCGGATCGCCGGGTTCAATCGTGATGTTTGGCAATTACTCTTGGTCGTCACTTCTTATTAAAGTTAAGAATAATTGAATCTCGTAAATCTCCATAATTTCATGAAGACGTAGCGAAAAATCTGACAATTTTTGAAACTCTCAATCGGAGTCTCTAGAAACGTGGAAATATAGGTTCATAGAGGAACGATAAGTTCCTTTTATAAGACCGATCTCATAAGGAGGTGATACGATTCCAGTCGAAAATCCCGTCTTATGTTTCCAACCTTGGGCAAGGAGCTAGAACGCAGGGATTCGGGAGTGGCGGGGGAATGGGGGAAGGAATGAGAAAATGTAGGGGTATCAGGGCAGTGCGATGGATTTTTTCTTCGAAGATGGTAGTCGGAATCCTATTGGGTTCAAAGTATTCTGTTACAACGAGAGAGATAAACACATTCGAGATCTTTTGGGTGAATGAGAGATGGCACCATAGTTATAGATAAGACATACAGTGGATCATGTCGATTGGGTCGACGATGGGGGAACGTTCTTCGGCATGTTGCGTTCAGATGCATGTCGCGCCAATGAGGCCGATTCAGACATTTTTCTTTGATTTTTGTTCGTTCGTCGCTTATGCACTCGAGTGAGCGCGGGAGAAGTGTGTATGAAGTCACAACCTCTGGTAGCAGCGTCAAATTATTCCAAATATTGGCGGGAACTGGCGAGGACATGATAATCCGGTTTCAACAGAAAGCAAGCTCCTGCTAGCTTCCATAGATTTCATTTATGGAGAGATTGGTTGACGTTTGTTTCTTCGCTCATTCATTCTGCGTCATTGATACTCTTTGATGCTGGTGGTGGTTTTTGGTGTTATTGTTGGAGCACAAAACTTGGGAGTGTGTTGTACCGGTCGACCGACCTTCTCGGGGTGACTGCGAGCCCTCGAACCCTATTTTGATGTTCTGGGTTATACATACTTTAACGATTGCATGCGTCTGTGATGCGTTCGAAATTCTTGTCAGCATCCACCTACACCTCCCTAGTGGTCTGAACTAGGTATTTCATCACTCTTACAGCAACAACCGAATCCTATGAGTGACACTCTTCTGGACTCAACTACGGAGTCCTCGCTCCCTTAGCCCCGGGAACGTCTTCGGCGGAGGAGGACAATGATGTCTAATGTCGAAAGAACTGCGACCTTGGCGGTGCTTTGGAAGATCACGAGTAGTGATGCGTCCAGTTCAGCTTGAGAGTTTCATTCCTGGACGGGTGGCTGAGCGCTGAAGAAACGCCAGCCGGAGTCAGGAATCCGATGACCTCAATCAGGAATCTTTCGGTGCAGATATTAGAATGGATTTAACGTTTCTCGGCAACTTACTGCAAATTGAGCACGGCGGCCACTCAGGGCTCAGAGAGGCGCGAGAGGAAGAGTCAGACCCCAGAGCGTGCAAACCGTGCGGGTCGCAGTTCTCTCGACATGACTGCTCTACAGCTGAATTTCGTCTCCTACCGGCTCAGTTGGCGACTTGTGGGTCGATGGGAGTATCCGTTGAGTTAGTTCTTAATCGATTCGACGATTTCCCGCACCCAGGGCACAAAGCGAGTGGCGTTGAGTGAATGGCCCAATTCATGAAGACGTGAATGCCGAGCCATAGGAGGGGTAGGGACGGCTAGGCGAATATTTTTTTTGGGAAGCATTGCCAGATGTTCGTTTCAGAGACTGGGTGTCAGATTGTGCCCTGGGTGCTGCAGTCCGTGACCTTGATCCAGTGGGACGTGGTGTGAACTGGTACGCCGAGTTGACCGACAGGCATGATCGCGAATGTCAATTAGTTCTATACCTGCGCGTCGGATCGAGTCGCGTCCTTCGGCGGAGGGGGTGATGTGCGGATAACCACCTTGGTCTTTGTGTCGTCTCCATCCACAACAACGATGGCGGTATCCTGAGCTCCTCCGGCCTCATCGTCGGAATCATCGTACTCACCTGAGGATTTAGCGGAAGAAATCTTCATTCTTGAATCGATTTCGCCCTACTTCGAGCTCTATCGCCAACGTGCAAGAATTCTTCCGTGGGAGCCTCGTTATAGGGACCCTGATATAGAGGACACACGCTCATGAAAAATGAACGATTGCTCCGTCTCGGCCGGCCTGTGGGATTCCCCATGTAGGGCGCCGATGATTGACTTTCGAAAATGATAGATCGACGACTCGGCCCCGGTTCCAGCCCTAATCCCCCCCCGCATAATGAAAGAATCTAGTCGGAAAGTCGGGGGCGATAGAATCTCAGACGATTTCCGAGGTTCCTTGCATTGTCGCGCGGCGCGTCATAATGAATGCAGTCCCGGACGTCAAGTCCGCTATAACGAGGTTCTACTTTATACTTCCAATAAAAATAATTTCCTTTCGGAACATCTGATAGTGCGCTCACCCTTGTATCTCCGCCACGTGTGTTGGATTACTCGGGCACAGTACTCCTGTCGCTGTCTGAGAAGTGTACTCGATACAGGTTCGTATCCAGGTCGGTCAATATGTATAACTTGTTCCGTAAGCTCCGGTGGTTCTTCGATTTGATGTCCTTTTCGAGCGAAGAAATCTCTCGTCAACGCGTCAAGAATGTCGACGCAGTAAACCATGTCTCCTTTGCAGATCGGGATGTCCAAGACGATCAACTTGTACTTGTTGGGTTTGGGTATCTGGAGCGGCTCTTCAAGGGCGTTAACGAAGTTCGACAGATGGGCGTAGGGTAGGTACTGGGTGCCCTTAGGGTCGAACTGCTGCCAGATCTCGTAGTACATATCGTAGTCGTCGTCTGTTAGACCCTCTTGAACGTCTTCGGTGGCTTGAGAGTAATTTTCGAGAATGACGGCGATGTACATGTTGATGATGACCAAGAATGAAATGATCAGATAACTGACGAGGTACGCTACGGCGATTCCTTTCTTGCCGCAGTTTCCCTCGGTTTCGCCGTCTTCGTCGATCGTTGGTTCCTCGCAGTCTGTTTCGTCCATGATCGCGGCCAGGACGTCGCTCCAACCCGCGGATGTGCACATTTGGAACAGTAGGATCATGGACTGACCAAATGTTTCGAAGTTGAAGTTCTCATCAACGCCGTACCGATGTTTCACGTTCATAAAAAATGACATGCCGAAGATCGCGTAGATGAACATCACGAGAAATAGTAGTAGACAAATGTTGAACAAAGCAGGTAATGACATGGCAAGGGCAAACAGCAATGTCCGTATTCCACGGGCGCCTTTGACAAGACGCAAAACTCGGCCCACCTTAACGACGCGCACCACTCGGAGTAGAGTCGGTGACACGAAGTACTTGGCGATAAGATCTTTGAGCACGGTTCCCAAAATTGATAAAATGACGACGACGAAGTCGAACATGTTCCAGGGTTCTTTGAAGTAATGCCAGCGGAGGGCAAAGATTTTGAGCACACACTCCGCAGTGAACACGGCGATGAAAAATATATTCAATCTCTCTAGAATCGATTCGAACAGGTCTGACTGCTGATAGTGGTCCAGAGCCATAACCGTCATGTTGAGCACGATGAAGATCATAATTGCCATATCGAACATTTTGTTCGTTGTTAGGTCGAATATCATTGCTTGAAGTTTGAACTGCAAGAGAAAAAAGCGACCGTCAAGATCAGCTGGGTGTCGGCCAACGGGCGGATGGGATGACGTTGGGGTCAGAATTGCTCAGCCCCCGATCGGGAAGGATTTCGGAATGGGATGCGCAGCGGAGCCGATTGCGCGGACTTACTCTTGGTCTTGGTATGGCTTTTGCGGGTTTCTTAGATCCCATTTTCTTCATTGCGTTGTAATACTTCTTCTGGTCTTCAGTCATGAACATCTCTAAAGATCCTCCGGCTTTCTTCTTTTGCTCATTGAAATTGTCAATGATGACTCCGATAAACAGATTCAGTGTGAAGAATGCTCCAAAAATTATGAAGAATACGAAATACAGGTACATGTATATGTTGACTTCGTAGTCAGGTTGATCGTCTTTTGATTTGGAATCCGTAGCGTGAGCCATTATGTCGATCCAACCTTTGAATGTAGCCACTTGGAAAAGGGCCAGGTATGCGTTGAGCACGTTGTCAAAATTGATCATGGGATTCTGCCATGTAAAGTTGTTGTTTATGCAGGCCTCCCGATTCGGGATGAAGCTCGAGTTCAGCTGTGTGCCGTTAGCGTCAACACAGTGGTAGAACTTGCCCGCGAACATCTGCACTCCCATGATCGAGAAGATCAGCCAGAATATGAGACAGACCAGCAACACATTGAAGATGGCAGGAATGGCTTGGACTAGAGCATTAACGACGACCTGGAAACGCCGGCACATTATACCCATGTTAGTAAGTTGTCGTTCCAATGACCATCCGATTCCAATGTGCACGCTCTCTCTTCTGAGGGTCGAGGAGCTCAATCGGGTTCAGTAAGATCTCGTATTTGTCGGTTTATCGGAGGAAAGGAGAGAATCAGAAGTTTGAAGGATTCCGCAAGAATCTCGAGTTTAGAGAAGCCTCGGAAAGTGCCAATCAGTGGACGAGCTCGTTTCATTTTCGTAAGCCATGCGTCACGTCAAGATATTGCTCGAAACATTCAGCCGGGACGGTCACCGCTACCCTCACGGGCTCTCTCATTCGATGAGTAGCGGGACAAGCGACTATTAGAGGTTTCTAAGTGCCGCGATGGGTGGACATAGTGGTCATTTAGTGGAAGTTTATCATGCTATCCTGTTCCCATGCGAGTTAGGGTCGGTGCTGGTGACCTACCATGAGAATTCGGAGCACGAATTCTCGTAGATTTCCGTAAACTATTTTTTCAATTGAATAATGTCTATACTTATGGACTTCTCCCGCTATTCGACCACATTGCCCCGGTCGTGATTGAGATTCCGTGGGAAACAGTCAACCGCTCGGCGATAGGATCTAAACCTTGCTCAGGACGACGAACCACTCTTCCAAAACCGCAACGAGCGGATTGCTTGAACTGTGGGGGACTGTGAGCCAGTGCGACCCTCATTCAACTCTCGGAATGATCTCATACAGTATATTGACATACAGACGACTGATATCTTCACTCCGTCCAACCAGAAGGTCCAAGGTCTAGAATCTCCTCGGGCGAGGCACGCGATCCTTCCACCGACACGCACACAGAAGATAAGATTCAAAACGAAATATCACCGGAGAGAATTCCGGCCGAAAATCACTCACAGAGAGACCTCGAAGCACTAAATCGAAAACATTTCCCACAACGCACAGAAGAAACTGTTTTCTCGAATGATGCTGTCAAGGTAATAAGACACAGATAGTAGAGGAAAGATCTCAAAACAGTCAAGGAACTTGATAGGACATCGAGGATCCGGGAATAAGAGGGTGGGGAGGGGGCAAACCCTTGCTCAGCGAACTACGTATTGATCTCAAATAGGCAAAATACGGAGAGCTTGACGCTCGGGAGCGGATTCTCATTTCCACGGACTCGCGAGGATCCTTCCCCGGTTCGGAAAGAGACAATCAGCAAAGATTGGACTCGGCGGTTCACTAGAGATTTGAGTTGACAATGGCCCTGCGGTTAGCATGCTTTGCGACTGTACGAGTGAGGTGTATACGCAAGACGAAGCGAGGAAATGATTCAAAACGATCAACTCCACCGAAACGAGACTCAGAAACTCAACTAGGAAGAAAGATTGCGAAGTCGGAATGCGGAAACGAGTTGTCAGAATGGGAAGAGCTCGAGGCCGGCCCCGGAAATACATATAAGTCCGAGATAGCGGAGACCTGCTCTCTTGAGGGCTTCTCCTTTCCAATTTTCTCGATGATGAGAGAAACATAGAGGGAGAGTACACAGAACAGAGAACCCTGGGGGAAGGGCTCGAAGAGAATCGATTTTGGGAAGCAAGAGACACACCGAGATCGGAGAAGATCAGCGGCGGGGTCAATCGAGAGCGCGAGTAGAGGAAAACAGTCGGTGTACGAAGGATCGAGGGATGCATTGAGGAAGAGAAAGAAAGGCGGGCAAGTGGAAGGGTGAATTTCAGGTGGATAAGCCGATAGGCAGATTGGAGCTTGGAAAGAGAGGAAGGCCGATAAACGACTCGAGAGATGTTATGGAATGTTATGACACTCTTCGATCTATTCTTACCCTCATGCCTTGGAAGCGGGAAAGCGCTCGTAGAGGGCGCAAGGCACGCAGGGTTCTCATGGTCTTGAACGCTTGAATTTTACCTGCTCCCAGCCAGGTCGCTACTAGATTGATCACAGATACCTAAGGAAGATGAAGAATTCTGTGAGGTAGCACTCAAGTAACCACGCCTAAGCTTGTTAGTGGGAAGGGCAAGAAACGATGGATGGATGGATGATTGATGGATGGGTGATATCTATGTTGTACTCTGGAGACACGATTCACGTAGCGCGGGAGGAAGAGGAGGATTGGGAGCGGAGGGAGAGGGGCCTGGAGTTCCATGTTTTCGGAGCTGTCTTCGGTCGAGGATTCGGGGAGGTCATCGACGAATTCGCTCCCCTGCTCCAGTTGACATCGATCGATGAGGTCTCACGAGGAGGAAAGCCGGATCGCGCTTTTCGTTTCTGGTAGCCGGATCTAGCGGTCGAGTGCTTTTTCACAATTCACGAAGCGAGTTTCCGGGTGATTGACCGCTGACCGGCCCACCGCGCCACCCTGAAGCTATAAGCCTGTCCCAGTATTTTCTGCGATCAAGTCCCCGAATTTTCCCCTCTCACAGTACGGAAAAAGTAATGTCGCTTTTAGTTCTGGCCATAATTCAACTAATTTGCCTCTCGAGGCTATGGATGCACACATGTACGACGATTCAGTTTAGTTCTAGTCTAAGCCTGCTCTACATCAAGTCACTATTGGCAGTCATTCATCCTTCCAGACGCTGGAAAAAATCCACCGCTGATCGCGTTAGAGAGAAGGATGGGTTGTCCTTTTCTGTCAGTCAGCCATTCGAATACTAACACGTTATCCGTACCGTCTACTACTCTGTCCTCAAACACGCCTATGCCAACAAACTCATCCTATATCGACTAGAATCACTAGTGCAGAGCATATCGATCGCTTGCAGTTAATCGCTTGCAGCGCTCGTAACCCTTATCCAATTGCATCATCAATTCCACGATATCAGTAGCCATTTACATAGGGAACGAATGGTGTTTTTCGATTCGAATCTTCGCAAGAGGATCAGACTGAGAGTCTGAGGATTATTTCACAGACATTAGACTGCGACAGCTGACGCAAAATCGCGATACCAGACAGTGCTCGTGCACTCGCTGCTGTTGTCGTCGCAAGAGACGCGTACTTCGCCGCCCCGAGGCTGTGCCAAACACCATGTGCACCCGTCGAAATCCCTTGAGCAACATTCCGTACGTGCTGACGGATCGTTGTGAAGAGCTTTTCGTGAGCTTGACAACAATCCGACATCATTTCAGACTCTGTCTGTCCTTCCTCTTGGCAGACTCTGAAGGGTCTGCATCCGAATTCGATCACCAAGGTTCTCTGTTCGGCTGCTCTCAAGGCCCCATTCCAGCGGAGCGAGAGCTACGAGTCTAGCCCCTTGAAGCTCCGTCAAACAAGCGCCAACGACGATTCTTCGGGCAATCAGCGGAGTCCCAACTCGGTTCAGCGACGATAATAAACCAGGGCAGCTCGACAATGCTCGGCGATCATTCCCGGCCTACTTACTCGCATCCCTTCCAGCCGTGACATGGCGCGAAGAGGACGCAGCGCTCGAAGGGTTCTCATTGTTTTAAATGCAGGAACTTTCCCAAAACCCATCATAGATACCGCCAGATTAATAACCGATACCTGTCGAATTAGTAAGAGTGGGTTATTCATAACGACATCTTGAACACTACGATGCTCAAGTGTCTAAGTCGGGGGATATTCCTTCGCACGGGGTCCTCCACGGAGAAAACGGTACATGAATCATCCGGGGCAAATATCCTCATCGCTGTCGACACAGTACATTCGTATCTATAAGGGTCCAGCTTTCGTGGTCGGCAGATCCGCGTCGATCCATTCTTCGAGACTGTGAGACCTGAGACCGCGAGACTGTCGACGCTCCCGATCTGGGGCCGCCGCTGGCGGCGTCCATCGGCATCTTCATGATGTGGATCAATATCCTTGAATTTTTCTCACGCAGAGTACGTCTGACTGAGTGATGTCTCATGTCATACTAAGAAGCCTTGGAATGAAATTCGCAAAATAGGTCAACTCGATGAGAAAACGTATAACTCAAGGGAACTCAGGAGAGAGGTGATGATGATAATCAGGCCAACGCCAACAGAATCCAACGAGCCGAAGAACGGATCGCGGTCGCTGCTCAGACCAATCAGGAGGAAGAGTCTCGAGGGAACTTGCCACAATTCGAGATGATCTTCAGCGCGAGCTGTTCTTCGCTTCGATCAACTCAAAGTGATGATTTGGGAACCCATGGGAACGATTCGAGTGACCGAATTCCCGGACCGTGTGGATTCCGTCGGACCAGTCGTATACTTACGAACACGATGACGAAGTCGAGCCAACACCACGCGTTGGTAAAATATTTTTGTAGGCCGAAAGCAAGCCATTTCAGTAACATTTCAAAGAAGAAAATCACAGTGAAAGTTTTGTCCATGACGTTAAGTATACTGACAAGCCATGGACGTTGCTTCAGATTGACATCTTCCAAAGCCTAGAAGGGATCCGCTTGTTAGAAACCTCTCTCAGTCGTCCAATCGTGAGGGAAGAATATCTATGTATGTCAAGGTTCCGATCTGCCGGTATATCCTCCGGGACTCCTTATACGTTTGAAGTATACAATACTTATGAGGAGATCCATCGATACCTACCAGAGCTAGGCTGCTGGTCAAGATGAGGACGACGACAATGGTCTCGAAGTAGTTATTCTCAACCAGAGCAAATGCCTCCGCTCGGTACATCTTATATTTCGCGAACAGAGGCATTGATTCGTCAGCTACGCAGCAGCAGGCGAAACGCACATAGCAGCATTCAGGACAACAGTCCGCCGGAAGTTCCGGAATGATGAGATCGGATGCCGCGGCTTCGATGTTGTGGCCGCCCTCCGACCCTTCCTTTGCGTCGACTTCGTCGGCGGCGCTCTCTTCATTGTCGCCCCCACTATCCGCGCCTCTGATCGGCCGGTCCCCGGAACCGGTACCGGGAGATTCATCTGCGAAGACCAATCGGGTTCATCAAGGCACAAAATAATCTCCGTCTGGTTTAGGAGAATGATTCAGAACTTCTCGACGACGCCAAATAGGGGGCTCGATAGAATAGTGAATCGATGTCGACGCGAACGAAATCCGGTACGCACCTGCTGCTCTGAAATCTCCCGGCTGAAGGTTATCATCGAGCTCCGCGCTGAAGCGAACCGAAGGAGATCCTCCGGTCAGCGGGGTGATGAGGCCTTCAGAGTTCCGGTGCAGACTGTCGTGCGCGGATAATGGCTGGTCGACGATACAAGATGGGGAACTGAGTGAAATTGGTCCCAACTCTGTGTCCTGAATGAGGCTTTCGTTGGACGGCTTCAGAAGGTAATTATCCGGACCCGGATGCACTTTATTGCTGAATTCCTTCGAGTTGCCAATGATAGGTCGGGAATAGTTTTTAAGCTTATGCATGACAATGTCCTGTTGTTTGTCACCTTGAAAACCAATGTCCAACCTGAAAAGGGACGAGGTCCAGACGATCATGAGAAACGATTGAGGCACGGCTGGCGGTGAGAATCTTGAAGTCGATTCCACGCTTCTAGGACTCCCGATCGAAAGTTCTAATGGTAGCAAACTTGCCTATCTATAAGTTCGGGTGTTGGGCTCTCCCTCTTTATGACTTGACCATCCATGATGATGACTCCAGTGTCTGCGTCGAGATCATCTGGATAAGTTTGGTCCGAGATCTGGTTGCGCTGTTTCCCGGAACACAGCTGAAAGTCAGCGAAACCGATCAAAATCTAAGCGGCAGCGGAAACGTCACGCCAAGGCGAAGCAAGTCGTTTCCCTGCATTCAATCTGCGGTCGAAGATTTTCCCGAGAGGATCTGTGTTACTTCTCTCCCAGAGCACCCACAATTTTCAAAAAACCAACCGAAGGGGATCGAAATATAAATTGAGAACCCGCTTTGGGGGAAGAGGCGTTCGCGAAGGAGCCCGATTTCGACATTATTCGATGATCTTGACGCTTTCCGCCACAAATCCCCTGAAATGTCCCGGAAATTCTGCGATCCTTTCACTAATCAAGCATTTCCGTCTAAGGATTCTTCCATGCGATCCCGTCCATCATTGAGGGTGCTAAGATACTGCATGTGAGGCTCCATCTCGGGCGATTCTGACGTGCTTCGTAGTTTTTCTAGTTAGTAGTCATTCTTTCTCACGTGATCGTTCACCGTACTGGCTAAAATTTAGGCTTTCAATGGCTAATCGTCCTTAATCCTCCTCCCCTTGAATATTCTCAGGTTCTACTCACGATACGTCAGGCCAGGCAGTGCTCTGCCGTTCTAACATTGTGTTGCTCAGCAGATTGCAGTTTCTAAGTCGTTCGCTTGCTTTCTACCAGAGGCGTGCATTTCCGCTGCTGCTATCAGCGTCGTAGGAATCAGAAGCGCAACGGGTAACCTACCATGAACATGTCTCTGAATTTTCGTTTCACCCATCTTCCAGCTCTGTGAAAGCGATCAATCGCTTCTTGAAGTTTCTTTGTATCGCCCGAATCGGGATTGGCCTGTAAGAAGTCCGGACCGCTATGAGTTGCGTCGCCAGCGTCAGAAATCGAGACATTCCTCCGCGATCCGGACAGGGAGGAAGGGGAAATCGATTCGTGCTCCGCCAGCTCGAGCCGTCAAAAATTTTTTTCGAGGCCAGCGAGCACATGATCCGCGAGCGCGGTCTTATGAACTCACCTGTGACAAGCTGGATGCTCCGAACGAGGAGAGCAACAGGGCCAAGAAGAGATTCAGTACGACCAGATTGCCAATTACGACGGTGGCGAGGAAAAATGGGATGCACGGCCAGCCGGATACCCACATGCAATCCCACATCGATTCAATCCACTCGCCACAAAGCACTCGGAACACGATCATGAATGAGTGCATGAAATCCAGGAAGTTCCATCGGGGAACTTTTTGTTCGGGGAACCTGCATTCAATAGTCATATGAGCGCGCCGAGCTCAAGGTCGATACTCTCAGATCTCACAGTGATCGTGTTCGTATCTCGAGTCCGGGGAACAACATGAGGGGGCTAGACGTGTCAGAGAAGAATCGAAGAAAATCTATGGGACAGTAGTAGTCTCCATAGTATAGGTACTTGGCTCTCCGTCTTGCATCCGATTTGAAGTTTCTCTCAAACCTCAATCTTAATCTGATTGAAGCCCCTGCTGACTCCTCACACACCGGTGAGCATGAAGTTGCTTCTCGTTAAGTGAGCCGGCGTGCGAGCAGCCGGTGGAATCGAGAAGTAAATGCGGAGCAACCGTGCGAGCAAGAGGTCAGGTCACTTAACATTATGACTGGGTGTGGCGGCGGCGACCAACGAGTCGACCAAGCGAACGAGCAAGCGGGCGCCTAGCCGATCCGCAAAGGGGGCAAGGAGCCGCAAAGCGTCATATCGCAACCGCTTGCGAAAGTAAACTATCTTCCTCTTTCTCCCCCTCTAGGTTCCCCGAAGACTCGTGTGAGCAGGCTCTTCCCGCGTGTTTCGCGTGTACACGGGTTCGAGTCCCGATCCGAGCTATCAGCCCTTCGCTGGCTTCTCATGAGGTACTTACAAGCACTTGTTGTCCACATAGTTCTTCCCGAAAAGTTGCATTCCCATAACGGCAAATATGAAGATGATAATTGCCAACACAAAAGTCAGGTTACCCAGGGCCCCGATGGTCTTGCCCATGATGGAAATCAACAGATTCAACGTTGGCCATGATTTGGCCAGTTTGAAGACTCTCAACTGGAATCGCACGCAGGGGAGTTAGTTCGCTAGTCTGTATCTTCGCGAGCTCTCGGATTCGGAGTCATTCGCTGGGAGGGTCGGCCGCGCGCCTCTTTCGAAAAGACTCCGAGACAAGGAGCACGGTAGGCGAAAAGCGGTGACAACTGGGAAGAGGAAGATCGCATCTGCACTCAAGGGAGGGTCGATGAATCGATATAATCGAAGGGTCATTCATAACTGTGGCTAGCAGCTTGCCGACCCGTCCCGTTGAAGTCCGAAGTGGCAGAGACGAGGCTCACGCTCTACCGTCAGTGAGATACTTTGGAACACGAAGTTTTTCGAAGCCGAGAGTCGCTCCGCGATCGAGTAATTCCAATATATTGAACAATTAATCATGAGACGGTATGGACGGAACGGTACTCACCAATCGAAATGAACGTAACACCGATAATCCTTGGACGCCTTCTAAGCCTAACTCGAGTAACGACAGTGCAACAATGATAAAATCAAAAATGTTCCAACCTTCTTTAAAATAATTTTTCGGACTCTTTGCCATGAGCTTCATGCTTGCTTCGATGGCGAATGTCGCCGTAAAGAACTGGAAGAGTGGAATCGGAGTCTCGTTAGAGGTGTTCTCAGTGCTCCGCGAGATTTGCTCGGCTCGCGCAGAGACCCGCCTCGTATCTCCGTTTTTTTTTCGTTCACGGGATGGATTTATCATTTGAATAAAATTTCTGATTCGATTCGAAATAACGAGCGAAGAGGATACTGACATAGTTCCCGGAGCGAAGCACGTTTTCAAAGTCTCGGTCCATGTCGTGGTGATCCATAGCCATGAAAAGTGTATTGACCACAATGCACAGCGTGATAAACAATTCCATAAACGGATCGAATACGATGAGACCAATAATCTCTTGGGCGCGTATCCAGCACCAACAACAATCCCACACACAGAAGATATCGATACATTTGAGACAACCTGCGAGGCATTTTTCTCTGAATTTCGCTTCTTCCTCCTCCTCTTCAGTAGAGTCTTCCTCATCGTCGTCGTCGTCGTCGTCTGTCGAAAAGTAGTAGACGGACGCTATCGTTAGTGATGTAGATGACTCTGTTCCCTAGTGGCTTGCAAATTCCTACCTAATAACGCGATCATGCGTTTAGTTGAGCGGTGAACGGCGGTGCTTTGGTGCTGGCTCAGGACCCTACCTAAACCGAATTACATGTTCTCACTCGGCAAACTTTGAATATGCCTCGGCGTCCTCGAGTTGACCGCCTTTTGGGCGAGTTATCATCCGCGGCGCTTAACGGAGATGACCGCGGGCAGTTGCCTTCGAACTTCCGGGAGCAAACCTCGAAATCCATCAAGAACCCAGCCGACGTATTTCGTCGAAGCTTACCTTGCGCGAAGCCCGAGGGCGGTCGCTGGACAGCGCAGAGCGGGCCAGCGACCCTCTTTCCGATTCAGGAGTCCCGAGGATCGCTCATGGAAGCGTCGTCGATTTTCCTTCGGAAGATCAGGCGCCCTCTCCCCCCGTGAACATATTGAATTATTATTCCCTGTACGCGTATGATTGGCTCGAGGGAAGGAAAATTGAACCTGGACATCCCGAGCGGCGTCTAAAACTTTGATACAACCGAAGCGGTTCCGGCTCCGGTCCGCTCCCGCAGATTCTCGAATTTTGGGTCTGCGAGTGCCCATTGGGAGCACTCCGAGCGAGCTCTCTCATTCCCCTGTGAGTCCCTCGATCCGCTCGGTAACGAATGATCACCAATTTGCTTGTTCTTCTGCTCTTTTTGTTCGCGCGCGACCGGAATCGAGAACGCGTCCTTCCGCCGAAAGCGTTTCCTTCGTTGCCGTCTCGAACAAAATGGGAATCCTCCCTCCCTTGATTCTTCTCGTCGGTTTCCGGCTAGGACGCAGACGGGGGGACAGTGATCTTCGGGGTCCCGGTTTTCCAGATAAGCGAAAGCAAACAAGCAATAAGCACCATACTAGCAACGATCGAAGCGACCGATGACAAACCGGCCCACCAACCAGCGACTGCCGAGACTTACTCGTCCCGCACGATTTCAACAAATCGGAGACGTTCGTAGAGAAGGTATATGCAGTTCAGTCTCACGTGTGAGCCGAAAGTGTCAGGGGAGAGCTCAATCCATGCAGTCTGCGGTCGACCATTGAGGACAGTCCTCTATCTTTCGTCGGCTCGCGGAACTAGTCGCATATAGCTCATTGTAATTTCTCTTCCGAGTTGAGGGCTATCCCGATCGGCGCGGGAAAATATTCGACCGCCCGTCTGCCCACCCGCCGCCGCAAGGACAACCGTCTTAATTCAGGTCCACGGAATTCCCAGAAATGCGTGCCGTTTGTCATGCGAATTGAGGTGCGTTTGGTGCGAGCTTGCTGCCAACCGATGGAAGGGTCTCAATGCCGTCGATCGCCTCGATTGCTATTCGCACACACAACCGCCTCCCATGAAAGGTTGACTCAAGGGGAAGACTCCTCATCATACACAGATTCCTTTCCAGAGAGGTAGAATCCCCCGCCGAGAAATTGTTCTAGAGAGCCTTTTTCTGACCCACTCAGACAGGAATTCGGACAAGCTCACAATCAGCTGTTCTTCACCATTGCTCGCGCTACTCCACACTCGACATACGGACCCTTGAGGATTATTGCGAGGAGGACGACACATCTTGCCGATCTCGGTCCCGAAGCTCAGGGTGAGCCGCAAAAAGAATTATATGAAAGTCGTTTCGGAAACACGAAAGCCCTTCAGCTCAAGGCATATCGACGACTTGGCGATCGCTCGCGACAAAGAGGGTCGTCCATCGATACCACTGCCTGCAGAGGTCTTTCGAGAGGAATTCGGTAGTCATCGTCATGACCGTCGTTGTTCCCCCTCGCGAGTGACGAAATACAACAGAACCCACGGGAGACAGCTGTGTGCTCTCAGCATTGGCCTTCCTTATTTTTTCTCTCGGTTTTCCTGAGAGGCGAGTGAAAGCAAACACCCATTCTGGTGTTCTTGCCTCCGTCGCCCTCTTCTCGTCCGCTTCCCTCGGATCGAAGCGAACGGCCACTATGCGGAAAAGCGATAAGCATCGTAAATTCGATCCCAGAGGACATCAAATCAAAGCTGTTCCGAAGCTGACCGATCAACGAACGGCGGCAATCCCAAACAGACGACATCTCTCAACTCCTCGAAATAAACATAGCCAAGCACAACGCATGATCACTCGAGAGTTACGATTCAAATCACTCCATCCCACTGACAATGACGGAAATCGAACGAGGACAGACAAGCAGAAGTAAATCCGCCAGGGGAGCAGCAAAGGCTACACTCCGGTGGCTCGATTGAGCTCTCATTCGGATACTTCTGTTCCCAGGTCCTCCGACGTTTCCCTCTAGGTGGTTCCTGATTCTTTTTCTTCTGCTTGCGCTTCCTCTCTTACATTCTCTCTCGTAAAGGCCCAGTCACCGCTACAACCTACGCATGTCGCGCTATTCTAACTACTCCTGCTCTGGATACCTCTTTCGCCTGTCCGACTTTGGTGGACAGCTGCCTGTTCGATGATGTCGTTCAGAACCATTACATCTGGAAGAAATCAGAAGCGATCGCTTAATCGCTTGCCGACGACCGCCGCTCATCACCAGCGATCCTCGCCGCTTCGAACGACAAGATCTCCAGACAAGGAACGTCAGCAAGTCTCGAGGGGGATTTCCGGGGTTTGCTGATGAAAACTACATACGATCCCGAGCCCATGTGCTATTTACTGTCGATAGACTCGAACCCCGTGTTCACATATATAGAGGGGCACCGAGTTGAGATGGTTAAGATGTTATGGTGTCATTTCTCTTCGGAAAAAAATGGGCCGCGCTCTCGTCTGGACACGAGAGGCCTCACAGAGAATTGTCGAGGTCACTTGATCGATACAGTACCGGACTCAAAAGTGAGGCGGCGTCGACAAATCAATACAGGTCGCCCTACCACAATGCCCGAGTAGTATCTTGGGAGCAGCTAGCTTCCGCATGAATTTCAGTATTTTGTATTTTCGACTGCGGATGGAGAAACAAGGGATATCTCGACGCGGTCGAAAATTCATTACCTTTCATGTCGACCATTGGCTGCCGATTCAAAGGATCCATGTAAGGTTTGTTGACTTGCTTGATTTTTGACAGTATGTAGTCTTCGGAGTCGAGTCTCGTTTCCTGGAAATAAGGATAAGAATCAGCCCGGAGAGACTCCCCGGGAAGGCGTTTGCGATTATTAGACCGCGAATCCGCAAGTCGCACGACGAAAACTCTCGCTGGCCCCCACTCGCCCAGGAACTCGTACTGGGGTACGAGGCCGTCCATGCAGGGGGGGGGGGGGGTGGTCGCGAGGCCAGAGCTCCCGCAATAGAGCACTCACCTGATCGTAGAAATAGTTCTGGAGATTCCGCGACCTCGATCTGAGCTGAGATTCTTTAGTGAGGCAGTAAACTTCCCCGTGTGAGGTATACGATAGACGCGAGGAATGCGACGTATAGCTGGATCTGCGTGAATGCTGCAGATTGGAGTATAGAGGAATAATGATGGCTCCGTTGTCTTCTGACATCGGTGTCACCGCTGCCGAATCATCGGCGAACGGAAGGTGCTCTTGGGCGTCGACGTAAGTTTGGAGCACCACAGGCTTGTTCCCGTAACAAGGTTGTCTTCCACGGCTACCGTTGGCAACTGGATAATTAGGTCTCCAGTTGCCGCTTGACCGTGAACCGCGCCGGATGTTGAACGGTGATCCCGGCAGAGAAAGACTTGCCTGTAAGAGGAATTAGCTCAAGAGTTGCCCTGCAGTCATTGGTCATGACTCATGAGTCACCAGATAGGTGGATAGCGGGGGTCGAGCTGATTTTCTCTCGATGCCTATCGAGGCGACGTCTCGCTTCCTCTCGTCGGCGCAGCGTTGCTCTGCCTTGTGGACGAAATTCATCTTGGAGAATCGAGCGGAATCTGAGCCCCTATTTTACCTTCGATCCTCATCCACAGATCGAGAAAGCGTCAGGTCCGGTGCACAGTCAGTGCTTTGCGCACACTGAATATTACCCATCGGTCAACGCTGACCGTACCGCATCGACGTTAGAATGCGACCAGAGCCCCGCTTCGCAATCCAGAGCGTATACCTGAACGGACGCTATCCGTGGCTACATTAGCCCTGAGAGATGAGGTCCTCGAAGTGAGCTCTCGTTCGGACCATTCATTTCGTCATGAGTCATGAGGGTAGAAGGAGCGAGCCGTATTGTTGGATCACACGGCAAGCGAGAGCCCCACCGAATGCATCATCGGGTGGGCACGTTGCCTCGCGGCTTTGACAAGCTCGATCCGAAAGAGTTCAAGTCGGATCGAATGAAGTTTCCAAAATCATCGACCACAAGCGCTTCGGTCAACGAGAATGGTGTTACTCTCGCCCGAATGAAGAGCGCTTGTAGCCGAATAACCGTCCAAAATCCGTCCTGACTCCGTCTACCAGTATGCGGAGCGACGCGAGCTCAGCAGAACAGAGGACCAACCGACAGTCGACGTGAAGTGGACACGCTCAAATCGCGGTCACGTTCGCCCAGCTATCCAACTCGGCAACGGCTGCACAGAGGCAGGACTTCAATTGCTCTGGCTGCGACTGCCGGAGCGGATGAATATAGCACCGTCGCCGTCGAAGTCCATTCATGGCTCCAAAGCCCACGGTGTCCTCCTTCGGCGAAGCATAGCCCTCATTGTTGATGCGATTTCTCCGACCGCTTCTGCGGAGTCGGGCAGGAAGGAGCATCGTGTCCAGGGAGCTCCCCGCTGCTCCTTGCAGGGAGAGCGAGGGGGAACGTTGCGCCCATCGATTGAGGCCTGGAGCCGTATTCGGATCCTAACGGCTCGGATCGAGACATGAGATTAGCTCCTCCCGCTACGACCTACGACGCGAGCTTCTACGTCCCGTACATGGGTACTCTTTTGGACGACTCTCGTTCAACGTGACTGATCTCACGCCCCAGCAACGCGTCACGCCGTCGGACAGTGGAGCAGGTCAATCGAAAATAAGACAAACGATCAGATAGGGAAGCATACTGCCCATGGAGAAGAGATAAGACGCGGCAGCTTGTGAGCAGCTACCTCTATAGCGCGATGAGGCGAAAGGATTTCCAATGAACTCCCCAGAATTTCGAATGATCCAAAGTATTAGAAACGATCCTTGAATCCGATCTCGACTGAATTACTACACCACATCTCCGTCCTTCGAAACAGGGACACACGCGATCCGGTATCGAACCGGCATGCGTTCACGTCTCGACGCAGAAGAGGGCGTAGTCAAGGTATGTCAACGGTCGAGACGATTGAAGGACACGAGTCCCGCATGAACTCACCTTGCGTTGGACTTTGCCGTTGTTCCTACTTTGCATGTAGGGAGCTGTGGTGCGTAAATCGCCGTCGACGCTCTTGAGACTCGTCTGTTCGTCTAGGCCTTGATTCTGAGAGACGTCGAGCGAGCGCATGGAATACTCAGAGGGGCTCTTTACCATCTGCTGCTGCTGCTGCTGGTTGGCGGCAGCTTGTTGAGCGGCAGCTAATTCCCGTTCTTCCCTCCGACCTTCTCGCCGATCACGCTTAGCCTCTGCGTGCCGGGTGGCAAGTTCGACCCTCGCTTCTTCCCGATCTTCTTCTTCCTGCGGACAAATGGTCGACGAAGAGGCATTAGAGGGGCGAACGACAACAAACTGAATAGCGAATCAGCCCCGAACCGTGCGCGGCCGGAGTGCCGGAATCGACAAGCACACTCGTGACGCGCTCTGTTGAAACGCATCCCCGCTGTGCGTCTCGAGCCCGTCTGAGGCCCGCGGCTTCGCCCATGCTTTGTCAATCATGCTCGGGACTCGACCATCGCTGAGAGGGTTCGAGGACGATCGAAAACGAAAAAAAACTCGTGGATTTCAGCATGGAGAGCGGGAGTGAACTCACTCTTCGCATTGCTTCTTCTAATAGGCGGTCTTCTTCGAGTTCTTCTTCGACGCGCTTCTGCAAGTCGTCATATGACATTGCGACAATGGCAAGGATCAAGTTGACAAGATAGAATGATCCCAGGAAAATGATGACGACAAAGAAACACATGTGCCAGGGCCCCGCCGATCGTAGGACCATTTGATAGAGTGACTCCCAGTAGTCTTGAGTCATGAGGCGGAAAGCCGAAAGAAAGGCCCAGCCGAAGGTGTCGAAGTTGGTATAGCCGTAATCGGGATTTTCGCCAATCCCTTGAATACACATGTAGTCAGCTGAGCATTGCCTGAAAGGGTTACGCGGCTCTCGTATTCAGAATCGCTGCTAGGTGGTTTCTGAGGATTCGAGGCGATGCAACGAATCTGGAGCGTGGGAAACCAAAATCGACTGTAGGATGTGGGACGGCCAGATGCGCCGAATATTTTTTACTCCTCCACCATGATCAAGGGAGAGCTGTCATCAATGTCAATGCAGGAACCGTGAGATTCATGGGTCGAATCTCCTTGCTTCGTGGCCAGGCATTAATAATTCACGCCCTGAGAGCAGGAGCGTGTCGGAGCTTCCCTCTCCGAGCTATCATCCCGAAGAGTCCTCGAGCTAAGAATAAACTTCGGTCTACGTCAACTGGAGAATAGTTTGCCGCCCTACAGCGTATCTCGCAGTTCCCAATCGCAGCGGCGGCTGGTACAGGCTCGCTCGTTTCCTCCGCCGGGACAGCAACAGCATTCGATAGTCGTAATGAGAGCTACAATCGGAGTTGGAAACTTTGAAGATTCTTAATTGCTCAGAATGGGTTTACGACCCATATCCGCTCCCGATTAAGAGCGAGTACGTGGTCGCGAACCCCATTGCGTATGAAGGAGCTCCTCGATGGTAACGAACGAGCCAGCGAGACGTGAATCGAGATTTGCAAGCGTAAAAACGCTCGACAGAAGATGTATACTCGATGGAAGTTTCACTCTCAGTCGAGATGGGACAATAATCGACCCGGGGTGAGGCGAAATGAATTGTGATCGTCACATATTCCCAGGATTGAATCCCGAGTCTCCTCAAGCGTGCTCTCAAGATCCTACCTCGGTGGATATGCATCCACAAATCGAGCTCGGTTTCTTCGAGGGGGAGGAATATTTCAATACGGCAGGAGATTCCATGAATCACTCCATGCAAGAAGGGCTGACGCGGTACTCACTTTGCTCCTGTACTATTCCCGCACAAGGGGTACTTGCCGTCAGCATTTTTGAACCAATGAGCTGAAAAAAATGAGGCAGCCATTATAGTGAGCTGTGATCCGCCAGTCCCTCCCATAGATCTACCAGATGTGTTGCCAATGGAGATGTGTTGCCAATGCTCACTTTCGTTGTGGATAAAGTCGTACCACTCCGAATTGCTAAGACCTTTTGGAGGTCTCTGAACGCATTTCTGTGTCAAAACTCCCATATATATTTGTAGTCCTAACAAGGCGAACACTGACAGAGAGAACATAGTCAAAATTATCACATCCCGTAGATTTTTTACAGATTCTATAAGGGCGCCTACGATGGTCTTCAGACCTGCAAACAAGAGGAGCGAACGGGTTAGCCGCGTCAGGACCCGATTTCGATAGAAATATCACAATTGTCCCGCATGATCGGCGGACGAGGGGCACATGGTAGAATCTGTATTGCTCACCAGGTACAATAGCAACGGTTTTCAAAGCTCGAAGCACACGGAATGTTCTCAGGGCACTGAGATTGCCCAAATTAACAAACATCGTTACGTAGCTGTGGAACGCGGAAGACAAATTAGGTGACGTGCTCACCATATTCAGTTTTTCCTTCCCCGTCGATTTCAATTCGTATGTTTTAGAAATCGGGAGGGATACTTACGCTAACGTTATTACTATGAAATCAAGCCAGTTCCACGGATCTCTAAGGTAGGTAAATCGCTCCAAAATAAAACCCCGAGCCAAGATTTTGATGATAGACTCGAATGTGTATATTGTTGTAAATATAGCTCTGGGGAAGAATATCAATTGGTTAGAGCAGGGTATGTATCGGTCACTCGAGCTTCTCGCGTCAGAGAGCGAACAATACTATCCCGGGCGTAGCATTGAGCATCCACATTCTACGCGCTTGTACCCCATAGATATCTCCATATATTAGGCCGAAAGGTCCCACTATCGCCCATTCGACAGTTACATCTATCGTCCCTCATCTTTCTCTGGCGCTCCCGCCGACGCGGCTCCTGAGCGAAAAGAGTAATCCGAGGCGAACTCCGGGAAGTTCTTTGAGCTCAAATATTGTACGGAAAGTATTCGACACATCCTCCAACACGCGCGATTATTCTAGAGGATTCAACGATTCCGATCAATACTCACTCTGTCTGTTCGGTTCCGTCGCTAGCCTGAGTCATTAAAATACAGTTGGTTAGAATGGCACAAATTATAGTGAAGTTGAATAATTGGTGCACCAGAATGCAGATGGCCAGACGACGAACGGGGTTGAAAGGGCTGAGTAACCAGAAGGAATTGGTCGAGCTGAAGCGAAATATGTCTTTGCCCTTGCTGATCACCATAAATGTCCTCTTATTTTCATAGTATTTATCTAACTCTTCGATCGGTGTGGCGATCAGCTCAGGTGGAAAATCGTTGATGATCCGTTTCGGCAGCGTACAGCCGGCCTCGAGGCCCGGCTCCGGATCGAGCTCTTCTCTGTGGTGGTAGAACTGCGGCTCAGGCTCGATGCCTTCCTCCCGCAGTTTCTCCAACTGCGCCTTCTTGGCCGCCTCCTCGGCCAGGCGCGCCAGTTGGGCGGCGAGACTCTCTCTGGTGAAAGGTCTGAAAATTGACTGCGGCTCATCTTCGACAAAGTGGTCCAGTCGCCGACAGTCATCGCCATCTCCTGCGACGGGCAGTGCAAGGGCGTGCGGCGTGGCGCTGCAGGTATTACTGAAAGCAGGCTGCGGCGGCGGCGGCTGCTGCTCTGTGGTAGCTGACAAAGCAGTCTCGGCGGGCACCGGTGGCATTTCACTGTCCCGCTTCGCCGCTGGCTTCGAGCGCGCCAGCTGCTGCTTCCTCTGCTGCTGCTTTTTCGTTCGTAGCTACCCCTTCTGTTTCTTCGTCGTTGGATTTCTTCGTCAGACACCTCACGGTCGCTGCTGCTGTCGTTTACGGATGTTGTTCTTGTTGTTGGCGTCGTCGGTGTGATGGTACTCGGTACTGCGGTGGTGGTGTCAACGGCGGCTGTCGTAGCGACGTTCGTGACGCGTATATTGCCGGGAATGGTATTGATTGCTTTTATTATGATGGTGTCGGCGGCGTTCGTTACGGCGACAGTCAGCTCCCTCCGGTCGTTGATGATATTGTTGCTCCTTCTTGACTTGACACCGGCGCTACGGTTCGTTCGAAATTCGCTGAGCTCCTGTGGTCGCTTGTTCCCTTCTATGATTTTCCTATTCTCTTTCCTGCTCGTATCGTCGTGGTCGTCTCCGATCACGACACTAGGGACGATGGCAACAACAACTACAACGACAAGGGATCGAGAGTTTGCTGTCGAGCGAGGAGGTCGAACCTGTCTCTGCCGTTGCGGCGGGAACGGCTGCTCTCGTTCTCTTCTGGTCGTTGCTGCTGCCGCTGCTTCTGCTTCCACAACCTTCGTTCTCAGCCGCCTCGGGGGTCGACGACGAGTTGTTTGCCGCGACTGCTCCGTGGCTTCGTTCGGGAGGGATTTCAATCGTTCTCTTTAGTTCCTTCAGAGGCGCTCTCCTTGTCCAACTTGAGACTGTCGACCGAGTTTCTTGCCGAACACTTGACAAAGTTCGAGTCTCGATTAGTGCGTATGTCCTGTTCGTTCAGTTGTACACAGTGGTTAGAAACCCGAACGCTGGCCCCTTAGTGGTGGAAGACTCTGGCTGGGGGGTCGGTCACCGCTGTCCCTGAGCGACAGCCTCTTTGACACTTTCCTTCGCCAACACTCCCTGATGGTTGCGTTCGTGCTCGTCCTCGTTATTCCCCGAGCGGGTACGCAACTCTGTAGCTCCAACAACCTGCAATGAATTCAAATGGATCAGGAGGGTCTTCAGCAGAATATCGAGAACTCGATCGAACACTTGTCCGGCAGCCGAACGAGTGGAGATTAGCTCGGGGGAGATATTTCAATATTTTGAACAGGAGGAAATGAAGGTTCCCCCGTAGCGGATCGATGTGGCCTGACAGGCTCTTTACGTGCTTGTCGAGCGAGGCTTGTTTTTCTCGTCTTCTGCATAACATTGACCTCAAATTTTTCATGTCATTCTCGTTGGTTCTTTCTCGCCGTAGGGGTGACCGTATGTCACGTCAACGTCATTTCCATCTCGAGCGTGCGGAACGCGCTTCACACTCCGGTCATAAATAACGTTCCCTCATTTTAGCATCACTTTTATTTCTGAACGTTGCCGTCGTCGCGTTCCGTTTCATTGAGCCATAGCCGGAGCCGAAACTCAACAGCAGACTCATATCGACAGATTCGTCTTTGAGGTCAGAGAGGATCCGCAGCGACGCCTCTTCCTATTTTTTCTTTCGAGCTTGCGCGTCGGAGCTTCTTCCCCTCAGGAGTTTATAAGGACTCGTGCTTTTCAATACGAGAGCGCATCCTCGGGGAAGATGCGTTCTGAGTTCCATAGGAATGATCCCTGAATCGGAAAAGATCGAGGCAACGCCGTCGGCCGGACGGAGCCCCATCTGAACTCGTTTCTTGAGACAAAAATGAAATCGGAGAGGCGTCCCGTCAGTCGCGAAAATGAGGGATGCGGGCATTAAAGTCTGTATTCTTACAACGTTTTCCGCGATGGCAGCCCCCTGACTTCTGAGACTCGGTCTGTCACAGATGAAATCTTCGATTGCTGTCGATAAGAGATAGAGGAGGGTTCCGAAGGAACAGCATCGCTACAGATGCGGACGATAAGCACCAGCTCTATGGATTGATGATTTCTAGCAAAACGCTTCCCATATTCGGAATCTTTCATGACAATGAGTGAAGTCGGGAGCTTTTCTGAGTCCTGAGTTCCGTGAGTGGAAATTGGGACGCTGATCCTTTTTGTGCACAGGTCCAATTCGAGCGCAGTTCCTCGAGCTCGCTATGACAAGTCAGCAGCTGCAACCAGCCCCAGAGAGGAAGTCACTCTGACAATTAATGTGAGGTAATTAGACTCAAGTCAATAGGCGTAGAGGCAGAGTCAGGTCAGGGCGCCTAACCTCGCGCCCCACTCTCACCAGAGCCTCCGCGTTCCCTCGGTTAGGTTTTATGGTCGTAAGGCAGCGCCTCGAAAGATGGATGGCATCGGAGGTAGCGAGCATAAGATCTATTGAAAAACCGAATACGGAAAAAATGCCCCCGCCCCAGACCACATCGAGCTCAGGCTCAGCTTCCTTTTCTGCCAGAGCGCCGATGCGCGCCGATTGATCGCGGTCACATTGATTGCACCCGGATCGGACTTGCTCAAATGTCTATTCGCCCTCAATTTGTTATTCCTTCGATGAATTAGATAGTCGAATGAATCTTTTTCGTATCCGTGATACTATTTGGCCACGGGACACCCGCACTTACGGCCTTTAGCAGTAATCAGAGCAAGCGATGGTCGCGCTCTGTGAACTCTGGAATTACGGTCCGCCAAAGTCATGACAATGGCCGCGTGACACTCCGTATAATGTTATCAGGAAGCCCCATCCGCTGTATCTGTCACCAGCGGGCAGCACACGACAGCGTGGATGCTCACAAAGTCGTCGAAGTGAAGAGTAGCCCGTCGAATAGGCGGATCGGAGGTCGCCGCTAAGAATGACCTTGGACGCAAAAACAGTACAGCCTCCCCGAGCTCCTCTCCTTCACTGGAGTCCTCGATCGCAGGTTCGATCAGACACTCGCTCGATGGTGGCTCGGTCACAGATAGAGCTCAATAATTCCTCGGATACCCGAACTAGCTATGGATCGCCCGTTGTCGCTTTTCGTCTTGCGATTCCGACGCCGAGATCAGCCCTTCTGGTTTCGAGAAGTATCCTAGAAACAGTAGATAGGTCCCCTCGACGATTCCTCTCTGTCATATGATCGATTCCGTATAAGTTGGGCTCGCCTGTAAGGCTTCGGAATTTCGGAAGTGCAATATGCGGCATATCATTTCGTGTGAAGAGATCTTGCGATATAAGGCATTGCTCCCGGAAACGTTTCATCCAGGGAAATGTACCCAATCGACACACTCGATCGTCGTTCATTGTTGCTTTCTTTTTGGAAGGGCGAAAAGGGCTCCGTCGAGAACTCTTCGTTCAAGGCCACAGATGAGCGACTAAACATCAAGTAGGTAGACTTGCTACCTCGGGCGCGAATCTCAATGACCCAGTTTGGAGTCACTCAGGCAAGGCAAGCAGAGCAGCCCTCCGTAGCTGCAGCGAGGGTACCGCGGCCGCTGCTTCAGCCGCCGGTGAACTCGGACCCGCAAACCGTGCCCTGATCGTTGGGTGGGTGCGCCGTCATACGTTCGTTCACTCGTTGGACTCTGGGCGGTAAGGGGCTCCGCTCTCCTACTCCGTCGTCTGCTTCCACCGAAGGCGGTGGCGGCAGCAGCAGCAGCATCAGGACCCACATGCCCAACCCAACAACAAGCCCTCTACTCTGACCGGGGAGCCAAGGCAGCGGACAAATGAACGAATCAACCAGCCAGCCAGCGTAGAGCGTTGTCGGCGACCGCAGGAGCTGTCGTTTTCCGTTCTCAGACTCCGCCGACCCTTATTCCTCCCCCCTCCCCGTCTCCTCCCCTTTGCCCTCGTTCGTCATGGACCCCTTCTCCGACGTTGCGTCCGAGGGTATTTTTTTGACCTTGTCAGTCCAACTTACTGCCGATTTGTCGAGCGTGCGCCGGCGCCACTCAAGTTCCACACGGACAGGAGCTCATTTCCGAAGAGGTTACTCCTCAACGCTTCTCCCTTCAAGAAAGCTTCCAGAGCTCTTGAGCGGGAGAGCTCGATTCGGACCACTCGGACTACAACAAGTATCGGGGCTCGAGTTCGACCGTACACCGTCCATAAACAGAGGGCATGGACGGAAAAACGGATGAACGGACGAACGTATGAACTGACCCAGTTCCGCGAATGTGCCCGACGCACTTCCGAGTCGATACGCACCGGCCTACCCAATCCAGAAGCGATTGCAACTCGGGCTTCGTGACGATGCATCCATTTTTTGAATTATTCGGAGCTGATTCATCAATCCGCGGCAGCTCCGTCAGATTCCGTCCGGATTCACGAGCTTTCGACAAGCATCGATTGAAAATGATTGCGGATCCACCGACTTGACCGGATCGCTTGACTCTCGGAGGTCGTCTCCTGTGGCGATTGGTCGCGCCGCCTCGGCCCCTTCCCCCCAGCAGTTGCGGTCAAGCATCGTCACTTCCCGTCGTTTGAGATTTCGGTCGATAATCCGCGTGGTTGTATTTAGCGCGCGAGCAGTTCATCCATCGCATCTTTTCGCATAAAAAGAATTCCCAAGCGAGCATCTCCCGATAAATTTAACGCAGCAGCGGCGGCAACGAACGTGGTGATGGCAACGGTCGTCGTGCAGCTCGCCAACATGTGGTTCACTTGACTCGCACGCTCAGACCAACCGCCCGCCCGTGCGCTGTCCAGCGAGCCGCTCGCCCCTCCAGTGCACCGTCCGACTCACCCGTTCGCCCTCCCCCTTAAACAGTGGAATCCCGAAGGGCCTTGAATACATTAATCCGATCACGGTATGGAGCTGGCTAACCTTTGTCGGTGTTGGGGGAGATCGTGTTGCGGTTGGCGCCGTCGATTCAAATCTGAGAGAGTATTTCTTAGGAGTATTAGGAACCTCATAAATTGTCTCCCTCTCCCTCGCTCCGTAAATTCGTGAGGAAACAGCCCCCTCGCTGTGAGGACCTGAATCGGCCCGTCGGAGCGATGCAGGCCATCTTTGATGTCGACGTTCCGTTTACGAAAACGGCAGTGACAACACGAAAAATACGGAGAGAAGAGAAAACCCTCC